GCTTATCTCGCACGTGTTATTGTTATCACGGAACCAATTAACTTTTATTCGATACTTTTACTAAAAACTTTAATCGGAGTCTGAGCCCTAGGGGAAATTTCCACTACGCAAGAATCTCTGGACATTTCAAAATAATACGGACTAGAAAAGTATTGTGAATTTATTTTTTGCGCATTTTTAAGAATTAAAAAAGTGGTATTGTTTGCGTTTTGTAAGTCCGTCCGTCTGTCCGGACCCACTTCTGCGGTTGTGAATTATTTTTAGGACAATTGTTTAGAGGTCTGGAATTTTTTGAAATAGGTAGCTTATACCTAGACGGTGTGCTAGACGTAAGACGGCCCTCAAATTTTGTTGTTTTAAGAGGGGCCAACCCCATTATTCATTTTCCGAGATGCTATTTCTGAAAGTAAAACGCCTATAACTTTTTTGCGCGATCGGACACTTCTGACTATTTACCATGGGTGTTTCCATGACAGTACGTGGTATTTACCAGTTGCTATAATTACGACGACTGCAAAATTATTTACCGATCTAAAAACAGAACAACAAAAATATTTACCAACGCCATTTTAAAAACAATCAGTTCAAAACCAACACTCAAAGTCTTACATTACACAGTCTTTAATTATTAAGCGGCAGAGCAAAGCGATGCAAGCTTTATAGAGGAGTCGATGGTGTCCGTCTGTCGGTCCGTTCGTCCGTGAACACGATAACTGTCAAACACTTGGATCGATTTGGTTCAAACTTTACATGTAACAAGCCAATTGGAAATGGGTCAAATCCAATGACTCAGTGGGGTCACACCGAGGTGCTCTGCCGCTTTTTTAGATGCTCTTTAGGGGTTTATTTGTTAAATAATTGTCCTAAAAATCTATCTTCCCGTTACAATTGTAGTAAAAAAAAGCAAATTGGCTGAATACGTAACATTTTGTACCTAGTAACTGCCAGCACAATGATACTTTGATGTCGGTCGGCCCGGAAATGCGGGAATATAATAATAAATTAAAATTTTTATTCGCGAGAATAAACAAAAGTATACCGTGTCCATTATGAATGTAGTGCGAGAGAATGTCACGTGTGCAGTGGCATGTCCCCTAAGTTTTTGAGCGAATTCTTATTAAACACCTATACGAGCTTAAAAAACATTTAGTCCAGTCATATTAGTGTTTCACCTCGGAATGAAAGATAATAAGCTATAAACTTGTGTAAACCTTTATTTTGTCATTCTGAAAGTTGTCTCAAAAGTCACATAAAATCTCGTGTCCGCGTCTTAAGATATTCAAGGTCAAAGGTCTCAAAAATCGTTTTTTTGCAAATATCTCGTTTCTTATGGTTTTAATGCCATTTGTGCTTATTATAAAAAGTGTAGGGAATAAAATTATCTACAACTTTTACCCCAAAAATTTGTCTATATACTCAACGGTTATTGAGATAAATGACGGTGAGCGCGCGGCGCTTAGTGGTTTACAGTGTAATTCAAGGTCAACCGTAAGTCCAGGTATAAAGATTATAAATCGTTAAAAAATATATAATTATAAATAATTTTCATTGTTTATTAATTAACGATGATAATATAGTGATGTTCTATTGGATTGCATTAATTTACTTGCAGTTTAAGTTCAAATTTTTCAAAATCTTATAATTAGCAATATTTGAGTATTAATTTTCTTCTTCATCATCATCACCGTCGAAAATTTGCAATTCAATATTATTATCGTTGTCAAGGACATTTGTTTCCAGATCTTCCAGAATTTCGGGGTCAAATGCATTCTTGCAGTTGCAAAATATTGTATTAAGCAATTCATCTGGACTTACGGTTGACCTTGAATTAGACTGTAAAGTGTAAACCACTAAGCGCCGTGCGCTCATCGTCCTTTATCTCAAAAACCGTTGAGTATACAGAAAAATGTTTGGGGTAAAAGTTGTAGATAATTTTATCCCCTACACTTTTTATAATAAGTACAAATGGCATTAAACCATAGGAAATGAGCTATTTGCAAAGAAACGATTTTGAGACGTTTGACCTTGAATATCTTAGGACGCGGACACGAGATTTTATGTGACTTTTGAGACAACTTTCAGAATGACAAAATAAAGGTTTACAGAAGTTTACAGCTTATTATCTCTCATTCCGAGGTTGGCCTTATTTTTTGCCCGAAATGACTGGACTAATTGGTCACGTGGTCCAGATCATGGTCGTTTGGTTGCCATCTTTAAAAATGGCCGGCATGTTGCTAGACTTTTTGTTAAAGTATATCTTCTCACACAATGGCTTGATTTTAATTTTTGAAGAAAGTTTTACTGATTTTTGAAGGCAAACAACATGAAAATGTACCACTACTTCTTTAAATTACTTATGTAAGGGTTCTTTTCATTGGTCGAAAACACTACCTTTACATTTTTACAAAAGTACACAAAACATTATTCCCAATCTTCTATAGAAACATACAGTTTTTCTGAAGTCACCTGTAGAATGAAAATATCGTCGTTTTCTATGTACCTAACCATAGTCGAACGGATTCAGTTTTTTACACGGTTCCAGAGACTAAATCCATTTATCTGCGTCTGTAGGATAACTCTCACTTATCCCGGTCATTTTAAGTGGGATAAGAACTTAATTACCACACTCAGTGGGATAAGAACTTCATTACCACACTCAGTGGAATAAGCCCTTGTCAAAACAATGTATGATCAAAAATCAACTATCAAGATTATATATTGTAAACATTAACGTCTGATGGAAGAGTTCCAGACTCACTCATGACATAAGCAAAGAAATCAGAAGCAAAATTTTTGACGTACAAATTTTCTTGACGTTAGGATTTTCTTGTTTCTATGGCGTCGAAAACTGCTAACTATGCTACTTCGATTGAAATTTAAAAAAATGCATCAAATTTATTTTTCGTTTTTAGCAGTAGAAGAACAGTCGCAGATAAAAAGTTGTATTTAATACTTGGGCTAACGGCCATTAACATACTCATGCTCTTACAATAGCTCGGGCTAACGCCCTCGTATGCGCAATTGTCGCATTCGTAAGTTAATGAGGCCGTTATCCCACTGATTAAATAAATAACTATTATCGCATTGCGTTTTATGTGAAAACAGATTATTCTTGAAATAGGGGCCACATCTTGAAAGTGTCCTAATTTCCCATGATGGAACGGAAATAGAATTTAGTCGTTGCACTTGACTACACGAACCAAAAATTCTTCTGCCTTCTTTCCATATCTTCATTCAGTGGTTCTTTACTCAACTCTAGCAAGAGGTTTTCGGCACACGGTTCTGCTGCTTTTAATGTCGCGGTTGCAGCCCGTTAAATAATTGATCGCAGGTGTGAAGTGGAATGTGTCGCAATGTACCTAATCCAAAGACAACTTTTAGCCCTAAATTTTTTCACTTCCGCTGGTAGGTACTGATTGAACTAGCAAAAACATCAGTGTCGGTAGAACAAATAACCACAGTGCTTAATATGGGTTAGGATTCTGTGGTCTGCTTCTTCATAATGTGATTCCAACGTATGTTCTTCTATACCATCTGTACAGTAAAATGTCTTGCTAAGATGAATGAGACCAGATGCAGTAACAGAAATACCCGATCAACAAAGTATGACTGTAGCAATTCTTTGTTGTTACCTGGGGCCCAATATGCGTCAGTATCAACAGGAACGGAAATGTTGTCATTATTTTGGTGTTCCATATTCCACTGGTTGTTTTCGTGATCGCTTGGTGCTATCAAATCGTTTCACACAAATTAGATTATTGGTTAATTCCATGAAACTAGTCGTGACGATATTGTAATTACAACACCATTAACAAGCCTTCACCAAGAGGATTTATTAAAGAAACTTAATGCATCTTAAAACCTTGTATTTGCCAAATTAATTGATTGTCTTCAAAAAATAAAAAACTTAAACTTAAACCTGGACCATTGTGTGGAGATATACCCTTAAACAAAGAATCTAGCAAACGTGGCGGTCATTTTTAAGTATGGCGACCAAACGACCATGATCGGGACAACGAGGCCAAATTTTTTAAATACTCACATAGGTGTTTAACACATCCCAGCAACAAAACTTAGGGGACATACAACTGCACACGTGACATGGGGTATCTTCTGGGCTAATGGTTTTACGTTACAATTGGGATAGATGGAAGCACACCACAGTGGTGAAATTGTTAAATCCAACGTGAAAGGGAGCAACTGCGTAGAGTTGGCGAACACTTTCTCAGGGTGCCCTAACCATTGAATTTAGTTATAAATTCAATGCCCTAACAAATCGCTATATCTCGATCGCTATTTTGCAAACATGCTATTGACGACCCGTCTCTGTAACTATTTTAATCATTACCATGTTTCCTTGTCGTTTAGGAAACTTGCGAAGTGGATTCCACCATACTCTGTCGTGTATCGTCAGCTTCTTGAATCATGCTTCATTGTTCCCGAAGCCAAAATCTGTCGCAACAAAAAAAACATTTCACTAGATTGATTTTTGTACTGACTTTTGACTGACATTGCCGTTTGGGTAGATTGACAAGAAAGCTAAAAAGAAACGACGTGTAACTTTAACTTGATTAATTTAAAAATTAGTTTTCCGAATTAGGCTAATTCAGTCACTTAACAATAGGCGTGAGAGTCAGAGAATGCATAAAATTTAATTTATGTGTAGGTATGACACTATACATTGCAGTATTCCATTATCTGTTGCACCCCCGAAAAGGACAGTGCAGTTTAAGCTGTTTCTTTTTTGTTGCATATTCTAGAGAATTAATTATTTTTACTTTTCTCTGGGATACATAAATATAAAGCTGTTATTTCGTGAACAGAAGGAAAAGGTCGGAAAAATACATCCTTTATAAATGCGTACCTATCGATTTAAACGTGGGCGCCGTAATATCTAGGTAATCCATCAGCGCTTTCTCTCTACCAACCCCTGAAAGTGAAATGTTAGCAGTCTGAACCACACTGCTTCTGTGCCACTTTCAAATCGATAAAACTTTATATAACATCATTTGCTTGGTGTAGGTCCTTCAAATTTTGTATTTAATTTTTTGAATTGCATGCCACTATGAATGAATAAAGAAGGTATGAAAGAAACGTACTAAACCTTCAATTTATAAAAACGAAAATGTTGGAAAGTGTTGTCGCGAGGTTATTAAATCAGTTATTGGGAAAATATGTTGTGGATTTGGATACGGAAAATTTAAATGTGGGAATTTTTTCCGGTCATGTTCAACTGACCGACCTGCAGTTAAAGGCTGAAGCTTTGGTACGTATTAAGAACGGATTTATTTGCCTTTAATTGCTGTCGATATTCTAGTACGAATTAAATCTTCCAATTAAGGTAAAAATCGGCACAATCGGAAAAATATGGCTAAAAATACCCTGGAACTATTTATGGAATGAGCCCGTTGTGTTGACAATCGAGGACATACTGATCACTGCTGTGCCAATCGTTTCATATGATAAATATGATCCAGAAATTGAAAAACGATTGTCGAGGGCAGTAAAACGAAAAATATTAAATGATTTAGATACAGATAGGAGATTTATTGGTGGACCCAACTCATTCTCTGAACACTTGCTCACCAACTTGGTGAACAACTTGCAGATTAATGTTTCAAACATCCATATACGGTACGAAGATTCGGTTAGTGCAAATCAACCTTTGGCATGTGGATTATGTATTGGCAGTATTACAGCTGAAACTACCAATAGGTAAGGCCTCAAAAGTGGACACAATTTTTAAAATTGTGTAATCTCTTCAAATAATAGATTTTTCTTTAAAGATGCTTAATGAGCTTGAAATTATTATCAGAAAAGCTATCGACCGTTTATTTTAAAATTGTTGTGCAAAACAGCCTCGGGTATGAAAAATATACCTACCCTCCTAAAATTATTCTTAATTGATTCTTTTTTGAACAGAGAGGAGAAATGTATTTTCCTTAATAACAATTTTAAGATTTTGGTTTGCAGAATCTATTTCTTTAGAAGGAGGATATGTCGACCCTTCTAAACGATATTAAGCAATTCGACAAAACGCTAATACGCTCGTTTACAGGTCGTTGATTATCGACGTGATTTGGTTTTGACGTCATAAAACGCACTTTAACTAAGTTTTTTAACGCTGTCAAAGTTGCTTGTCTAAGTCTGTCTAACGCATTTTCCGGAATTTAGTTTAAATACTTTAGTAATACTATGGTTTAGTTAATTAAATTGCGTCACTTGCGAATTCTCAACTTTGCGAATGATGTCAATAATAGAAGCATTGAATTATAGAAGGTCTACACATGGTCAGATTCTCTACCACTAGCAAAGAATGGATTCGAATCATGGTATTTAATTACTATAGTTCGTCGTGCGTCTTGACTTTACAGTGCAGACTCCTATAGTGTTTGCAAAAATTGAAAAAAGAAAATTTGAACTAATTAGAAATAGTGTTAGGAAGTTTTTTTTTATGACAATTATAGATGGTGGAACATTGAGGGTTAGTTTAGAATAGAGGAAGTTTTATTTAATTGGAGAGGGAAGTTGACATTTCTTTTGTTTCTCTTCGAACCCAAACTTGAGATATTGAGTGTCAGGTTTTTTTTGTATCAGGTCATGCTCGCGCCGCCTTGCTGAAGGGGTGAATAAAAGTAGGAAAAAAATTAATTAAGTAGGGTTGAGGCATCTGTGTTTGGGACAAGGTGAGGATTGACAAACGTTCGATTTCCTAGTCAGGGGAAGTGTATGAGTCAAAAAAATAAATAATTTCAAAATTATTAGTTAATTTGGGTAGGTCCCTCATACATAACATAACAATACATTAAAGAGCTACAAGGCTATCAAATCTTTATAAAACCGTTAGTTTTAAAATGGGGTGAGGTAGTGCTCGCATTTCACTTAATTTTTGTCGTACAGAAAATTGCCGGTGAGGAAAATGTTCGGAATTAAAAAATCTACAATTGAACACTGTAGCATTTTTACGTATCTCCATCTGTTTTGTAGTTATGTTAAAGAGAAGGACGTTTTTCACAAAATTGCAGAAATTCGTTATTCACTTTTAACTTCAATTATTTCAAATTTAATGGCCGTTTGCACTGACAAATTTAAGCGGAGCTTAGCTTAAGCATAACTTAAAATCCATGGCAACCATTGTCTCAATAATCGTTGCCATGGATTTTAAGCTAAGCTTCACCTAAGCTCGGCTTAAATTTGTCGGTGCAAACGGCCATTAGTCTTCTAAACTGGTCACACTTTTAGAATGTATTAATAATACGTAATTAAAGAAAACTGGGAAAGGGGATGGACTAATTTTAATTGGGGTGGTAATTAAAGGGTTGCTTGCCCTGATTTTTCAATGAAAAAAGTACGGATCTAACTTATTTTCATTGTAACTCACTTACCTTTTATGCTAAAGTTCGTTTTTTAAAAAAAGAAGAAAAGTTTTTTTAAATAGCTAAAATAATCTACAAGTTTTTCTCGAAAAATGCGTAGTTTTACCGTTATTTGACTGTTAAACTCTCTAATTTAGCATTTGACGAACAAGAGCTAACCTTTAACAAGACACAACTCGGTTCGTATCGGTCGTACAGTCTTTTGTATGAAAAACTCGTACCTTCGGTCGTGAATAACTGGAGAAGTATTAACTTTAAAAAAAATGTATAGAACACTTTTTGCTTAGAATTAATTTTTCTATCTATTCCTGTGTTAAAATTAAAATGATAATAAAAAATTGCCACCACCGAAATTGGGTGACAACCCCCCTCCCCCCGTCCCCCGGGTGAAAGCGCCATTTGGCGTGATATAGATTTTGATCCTTAGGCTATTCCTTATCTTCTGTCAAAATTTCAAGTTAATCGATCCATTTTGAAAAAATTGCCAGGGCAAACAATGGTAATTTAGATCCTTATCTAAAATTCATCTTTACCACATAATAAATTACTGGTACATTCTTCTGTTCAAAATATACACGCGCCTCAAAATGCTACACCAAATTTTAATCACTGAATTGAAATGAAATTCTCCAAACAATGAAACATAATAACCAAAAATCCTTTGTTGGGATTCGATGCTTAGCAATAAATACACCACAAAATCTGTTTCATGCAAATAATTTTCACATTTCAATTCTATTCTATTCCATTCACACGGCAGCCCGGCCAGACAGCACCATTGTGCCTACCCCCTTTCTTTCGCAATTACTAGGTGGTGGTGCATATGTATAGTATATGCTTATTATGGTAGCCTCTACGGAGTTTCTCCTGTGCACAAGCCTGAAACACGGTGCTATGCTGACTAAGGGAAAAGCTGATGTCAGCTCTCGGTTGATCACCATATACAGACTGTTTCATGCAAACCGTTAAGTACCTAAAAGTATTCAGACACCCATTAACAATTTAAATCTGCAAATTTGCATAGGGACCAACATAGTTTTTTATGGAAGGAAAATATTATCATGATCATTCCGCTTCCGGTTTTACCGGATGTGGATAGCAACTTTTTTAATCATTCGTATGTATGTAGCATCACGTACGTCACTATTGTTGATTTCGAAATGCTTTTTGAAAGTCAACGGAGCCGTAGGTACAGGGTGCTAAAAAAACAAACGTCAAAAATTTTGAAAAATCTTGAATAACTTGAAAAGCGTTGATGCTAGGTATAAATGCAATAAAATATAGGGTTATCTATTTAAAATAAGAAAGTTGCTATCCACTTCCGGTAAAACTGGAAGTTAAACGATCATGATAATATTTTCTTTCGAGAGATCATGAAAAACTATGTTCGTATGCAAATTTTCAGATTTCAATTATTAATGGACGTCTAAATACTTTTAGGTAACTGTGTGCGTGAAACAGCCTGTATAGTGTATACCCATGTTTTTTCACTAGCCCCTCAGGTTTGAGTAATGGGCCTTAATAAGACACCCCGGATCACATCCGTTCTTCCGAGGAGGGGATCGGACCTGAGGGTTTCCTCCCAAATACACCCGTGCCCAAGGCTTCCTCGATCCTTCCGAGCTTCTACCTCTACAGCTAAGTGTAAAGGCTCTAGTCCCCGAAGTGTCTCCATGGCCAAAGTTGGCGTGGTTTGCATGGCCCCAGTGACTCCCAGACAGGGGCGTCTCTGTATTGTACCTAGCTGCTTCCTGTAGGTTGCCCTGCGCATGGTAGGACACAATTAAAGTGCCCTTTATTTTAAACAATCAATCTATAATATAACATAATTTATTAAAGATAACCAATAATTCTGTCCGTTGTTCAAAAGACACCTACCTATACATGTTGGCGGTATACCGACCATAAATAAAGAATGCCATGTACCTTATCAATGTGGTCTTTCATACAGTTGATGTGAAACTCGATGAATGGGCCGTTGCTGAACCTTGAGATGTTATCGTAATCCGCGCCGTATACTGACGCATGGAATTTGTAATTTTCCTCTGCAACATCCCTAAGTCAATGGAAAACTGCAACTGAATTTGATGTACTCATCGATCTTTGTATCGAATCTGATTCATCGGAAATAAACAACGGCTGCTTTAAAACAATCGTTAGCGTTAAAACAAATTGCAAGCTTTAAGCTGGATTCACATGAATACGAAATCCGACGATACGGTCATTCAAAATAGGTACTTATGATTGGTCAATAATTTGAAATGTGCTTGCCATTTCAAACTATTGACCAATCATAAGCATTTCGGATGACCGTATCGTCGGATTTCGTATTCATGTGAATCCAGCTTAAGGCTGTTGATTCTAGTTCGTAATAAGTTCATAATAAGGTACGAGGCCTGTAATCCTTCGCCATGTGATATTTGGCACGGCCCGTCTTAGGTAGGTACACAACTCTTACATTTCTTCAACTTTGGAGGATTATACCCTAAAGCCAGAGAAGGTCCTCCGTAATCCTCGTTTAGACCTATCAATATGGCCCTTGTACCTGCGCGATCTTGAAATCTTCCCAGTTTGTAGGCAGCGTAGTTTGCATGGCCCTATTAAAGAACCTGCGAACCTCCTTACGAACCTTTTCAAGGTCTGAGTTCCACCAAGGTGTTCTCTTTATTTCGCGTAAGGTCCACTGTTGAGGACAGCTGCAAACTATGGAGGCTGTTATGATGCCGCTTACTAATGGGGCCGCCTATTCCACCTGCCCTGCTTTCCGACAAAACAAAGGTGGCCCACCCAGCGGCTCTGACAGTTTCGTGATCATGTGAGCTATTGAAAAGCAGTAACATCGAAAGAAGAGTTTCTTTTATAACAGGCATGTAGATGTAGGGCGCATCCTCGTGAATCAACTTACATAATTTTTTTTTTAATTGCTTACTTTACGCAGCGTAGTGTTGTAGGCGTAAGTGTTTAGGTACATACGAAAAATGACAAAACGGCCGCTTTACCGCTTGTGCTAGATAAAAGGCAAAGAATAGACTTTATTAAAAACCCATGCAAATCAAGATATACTATGTACTTATAAGATATTTTCCAGATATGTTAACCACGAGTCCTTTGTCTTTGTTGAAATATCTTCTTCTAGTGTTGGAAGACATAGCATCCATGTCAAAAATAAAGTTCGCGATTCCTATTGTGGAGTTATTTTTTTGAAATTTTAACCATAGCTAAAAAAAACGTAGCGCCTATGTCTAAAATTCGGTACACAAATTGCGCAGAATACGCAGAATCAGTGTTGTTATTTCTAAATGTGAAATTTTAATGCCATAATGTCTCCTTTATCTCCAAAACTTGTGAGTTGTGGGTCGCGATCGTTGCTTTGTACGTATACGTACAAAGGGGCGCAATTTGATAATTACGACTGTATCTCGGAAAGCTCTGAGATCAGCATTACAAAATGTTATTCGTTTCAGCAAATGGAAAGCGTCAAAAGCAACCAGCAGCAGTGAGACATGCTATTACTTGATTAAAGTTGAAGCACTCTCAGTATATTGGAATCCACAATATAAAACTGAAAAATGGGACATTCCTTCACAATATTATCAGTGGAGGAACGTTATGTCGAACAGTCTGCAAAATTTTTCGATGAACAATCAGGACTTTGAATTCGGTAATTAATAATTTCATCGGAATAATTACCAATACTATAACGTAGACTATTTTTTTAGTTGTTAAGCCAATGACGTCGAAAGTGAAAATGACAATAAATAGATCAGATAATAGGAATATAACAAAAATCTTTAGTGACATTGTAATACAAGATTGTAATATACAGTTTTCCCAAAGACAATTTCAATCAATTTTTACTCTTATGGACGCTTTAGATAGAATGTTTATAAGCTGGAACTTCTTGTCCTTAAGACCAAAACACAGAATTTCAGAAAATAAACGAAGTTGGTGGAAATACGCCTATCAGGCTTTACTGGAACAAAGAGTTCGGCCGTATACATGGAGTAGAATTAAGAAAGTGAGGCAACAGTACAAGGAGTATACGGAGGCTTATAAGAAAATTCTACTCAACCCCAACGACACCGAATTAAAATTAGATTTACAGAAATATGAAGATCTTTTATCAATTGTAAATATTGTAATATCCAGACAACAAGCGGCTTTGTTGGTGAGTACTATTTTTATCAATCCCTTAGGTATAATGATACAGTACTGTTCCTTGCTTTGTATATAATCTCAAGACCTTGTCTATGCCTAATCGCAATAGAATTATTAAGCGGCAGAGCAAAGCGATGTAAGCTTTATAGGGGAGTCGATGGTGTCCGTCTGTCCGTGAATACGATAACTGCCAAACGCTTGGACCGATTCGGTTCAAACTTTGCACAGTTGACCTATATGCCACATCTAACAAGTTTATTGAACCCCGTAGAGTCAAACCGAGGTGCTCTGCCACTTTTTAGATCCGCTTTAGGTTTTTCTTACAGATAAATTGCTAAATACGGGTCCAAATTGCAGGTGCGTGCAGACAGCTTCGGAGATAAAAATTTTTGGTCAATGCTTCCTTCCCCTGAACGTGCCGAATTATGTGCGAAAATTGGATACTCCGAACAGCTAGTTGCCGACAAGAAACAAGGCATAGGTGCGTGTCTACGTAATTAAAAAATTGCTTATATCTAATCTACGTTGTTACAGAGCACAAGCACAATTTCCGCATCGGAAACGTAAGTCTGTCATTACTGGAATCAAAACGAGAGGTTTTTGTTTTAACAATGACCCAATTTATTTTATCTACTGTGCCTAATTTTGAAGAAGACACCTATAAGTTTTTTCTTAAAATTGAGGGTATCGTGGTGGAAGGCGCAAGTTTGGAGGAGCACCTCGTTCCTATTATATCATCTGAACATATTCATAGCAGTCCAGCCTATTTTTTTAAAATCGATATCGAAAAACATAAACCAAATTCTAACCCATCATTTTCTGTTAACGGCGCTTTAAGTACCACTGAAGTTGTATATCAAGAGGTAAACCAGTCCAAATTTAACTAAACTTTAAAATTGTGTTTTAGCACGCGTTTAACGAATTAGGAAAGTTTATCAGCAGTAAGACAATATCATTAGATTACATATACGAGTTTATTTCGAAAATTCCCCAAAAATTGATCAACTTCGTGATTGACAAAGTTGGGAAACATTGGTCCTTTAATTTTGATATAAAAGTACCTTACTTGGTGTGGTCGCAAAGTGGCGTACAAAAGTAAGTAGCCATTTCCATACAGCTGTAGAAGATAACGTTTAATTGAATTTTAGAGTTGAAAATATTTTGGTAGCAGATTTAGGCCATTTGAAGATAGAAACTGAGTTATGTGAAAAATGTGATATATCCGAAATATCAACGCCTATGGAATTAGAAGAGCAGCTTTATTCTCGTCTCATTGTAAATTGCAACGAAATGCAAATATTGTTCTGTAGTACCGCGGAAAATTGGAAGGATGCCCGAAAAGAAAGGGACAGCGACATGCATTTGCTTCAAAAGCTCAACTTTTCATCAACTTTCGCCATCAGCTATCAATCTTTTCATTCCATTCCGCGGTAAGCTAATCGATTTTGGTTGTAAATAGAACTTTACTGTTTTAGGTATAAATGGAATGTAACGATGCCTAGTTTGAAAATAAATCTATCTGAGAAAAAAATATCTTCGTTAGTTACATTTTTCAACAACTTCACCCGAAATGGTTCCTTTCATACATCACCATTTCGTATATCAAAGCTACACAGCATACTAAAACTGGATCGAATCGTTAAGAAAATTCGCCCCAACTACTTACAAAAAGTAAAAAACTCTGTTCGCGTCGGAGAAAGACATATAAAGTACAAAATGAACAAAATTGAACGAAATGGACTAATCAGTAAAGATGGAAGGTGATAAATGCTTGAGAGTACGTGTGAGAGTATATTTGCAGGTTTTAGGAAAAACGATGATACTCAGAGGAAAGAAAATATGAATGAAGCGTGGGCACGTGTCGTGGACTTGCCGGGTTTGGAAGACAACACATCACCTTCGAATAATATTTTGAAGTTATTCCGAATAGTAATTAATGATGTAAGTATAAACACTTGTAGGAAAACTTAATGTTCGCAGTTTTCTTTGGCATTTTCACGCTCAAGTGACGTGACAGAGAGACCTTACTTACTATTTCGTCTGGGTTCGTTTATGATGGATGTTGCGTTTATGACTTACGGACCGGCGTACCAAATTTCAATTAACAGTATCTTACTGACGGACAAATTATATACAACACGAAGCGGGCAATATTTAGATTTAATTTATAGTCCAGTGCCGAGTACGGCTGATGTGTTAACGATATTGTATAGAAGAGTGAGTAATACTTAATGAAAAACTGTACCTATTGTTGACTACATTTGCGTAGGTTGACGCGAATTGTCCGGATTTCTGGACGCATTTCCATGGTGTGGAAACATCTTTAGTCGCAGATTTAGGAACATTGAACCTGTTGCTCCATCAAGATGCCTTGCACACAATCCTTAAGTATAGTCGATATATGTGCAATAAGTGAGTATGCAATTTGCATTATATCTCCTTACACAATAACACCCGTGTGAAGTGACTCTTAGTTTTAAAATAAACCGTAGTTCAATAGTGAAGAAGTGAAGACTGTAACGTTTTTGTTATTTTATTCCCCCACGAACCCACCCCAGCGGAAGTCTTAGGCTATAGATTACCTACTGTACACGCAAGTCAAAAATCTGTATCCATTTTTGAGTTATTGTGTTTGCAGTGGAATATGGACAAGTAACCAGACAAGCAGACAAAAAGTACAACTTCATACACAAACTTCTCAATGTAAATACGGTATGAAACCGTACATTTACTTATAATGTAAATATTGCCATCCTATTGACGCCCCTTGATGGAGGAACGACAATTTTGGTTTAACACCTTATCTCAAAGTAATTTCGTTGTTTATTTTTTACGCAGCTTTTATTGCTCCAAACAATAACTTGTTTATTGCAGGTTCTACATTTTACGAAGCCGTACACGGGCCATACACACACTTGGTGTTCTTATTCCAAAAATAAGTGGAAATTTCGACAAAAAAGTGGAAACTTCGACAAAAAAGTGGAAATTTTCACAAAAAAGTGAAAATTTCTACAAAAAAGTGGAAATTCCCACAAAAAAGTAGAAATTTCAACAAAAAAGTGGAAATTTCGACAAAAAAGTGAAAATTTCGAAAAAAAGTGAAAGCGGCGACAACAAAGCAGAAATTTGACCTTCCCCCGCCGCCCCATCGAGTGACCCATCATTTTAAAGGCCATCAAATATTTTTGTCGAAATTTCCACTTTTTTATGGGAATTTCCACTTTTTTTGTAGAAATTTCCACTTTTTTGTAGAAATGTTCACTTTTTTGGCGAAATTTTCACTTTTTTGTAGAAGAAGAACACCAAGTGTATATGTGGCCCGTGTACGGCTTCGTACAGAACACTTGATCCCGATCTACAATCTTTGTTTTTCGTAAGGTGCTATCGACTTCCGGGATAGTATCGTGTCAATATTGAACGAAAAGGCTTTTTGTTCAACATTAGCACGATCCTATTCCGGAAGTCGCACGCATCTTAATAAAAACAAAGATTGTAAATCGACACAAGGTGTGCTGTGACCGGCAGTCTTTCCTGGCGAGAGTTATAGTGATTTTTTGAAACCTCAATTTTACTTTAATCTTATTTTAATATCTATCGGTGGCAACGAAAAAACAGTGTTGATTAAAAAAACGGTTTACTTTTCTAACATGTTTGGTAGGATATGCCATTTAACTTCTTAAGTCGCAAAAATAAGGTCATGAAGGTGACGTTCGTCTTCCATAATACAGTTTTCAATTCTGTTTAGGAAGCTCTGCGACACTCGCTGTAGTGTCTCCTTGGTAATTAGTGCCAGCTCACAAATCGCCTCCTTCGGATCATCCAAATTACGAGGTTTGCGTTGAAAAACCCTTTCCATCAAATATTTCCACACAAAAAAATCGCACATCTTGATGTCGGAAGAACGACGAGGCTACGGCCCAAATCTTGAAATGACATGACCTGGAAACGAGTTCCGCAGGAAGCTCATCGAAAGTGTGTCTGAGTGAGGAGGAACCACAATGTCCTGTTGAAAGTTGAGCCTCTAATTGTCACGTAAGATTTTCCAATGTATTCTTTGTTGTCACATAATCTAACAGCAACGAAACATATGGAAAGTTATCTGGCGCAATATACACTTCATATTGACAAACTCCTTTTGTAGCACCAAGGTAAGAAATAAGTTTCAAAGTAGAAAACTTTGAGGCTGTACCCTCAGATTAGAATAAATCTTCTCGTATGCCACCTTTTCTGCTGTAGTTCTGCATACTACGTCATGCGGACGTTTTATTTGGCATCAACCTATACTAATGTTGGGTCACTATGTATGTTGAATTTCAATTGTTGTTAACATTATCCACTGTTTGTCGAGCGTTATCGCTTATGTGAAGGGTTTCTTTGAGATTTTCCCGTTAAAGGGTTTTTCCACCATCAAAGAGCCAATTTTACATCTGTAATTACAACGAATCCAGTGTCGTCTAAATTGACATTCTAGTGCAATTAAAGTAGATGAGTAAAGTTATAGTAGCATCATCAGCTTGGTGTTTGTGTTCTTTGTTCGTCACTTGAAGTGAACCGCAGGTGACCGGATGTTAGGGATTATTTAACTTTTCCTTTTCTTTGGAATTGTGAGACTGATCAAGTCTGCTGAGTTTCTCAATTTAATCAAATTAAGTCTGCGGTTTTTAGTTGTGGCAGAAGCTGGACATGCCCTGAAAAAATTATAATTATATCGTACAAGGTATCGTTAGGTAGTACCCGAGTTTAAATTGAGCTAGCTGGACAAATGTATGTGTGGGTGGTTTAGTGACCATTTGCCATTGCTCATACCAATCTTCATCATCATTTGGTACTTATCTGGTGTTATTTTAAAATATGCGCGGTAACAGGACTTATGATAACATGCATCTGCAGCTACAATATTTCCAGACGCTACTGCAATATTTTTGTGTTTCGTTTTTCTATAGCAATTTCAAGAAGTTTCTTATCAGTGTTAAGGTGAAGAACATGAAGGAATTATGGTTTCCTAGATCGGCTTCCCTTCTTATATTTATATTGAATTCTTAGGTTTGATTTTTCTCGTTTCAAACGCTTCTGGGTCGTGATATTGGTAAAATTGACCCAACATTTATGATGGTATTTCACGGTGTACAACAGTTCCGTCATATATATGCCCCAGTTCAGTAGTTCAGTAACTGTGTGTTTGGAGCTTCTTTTCAATATGAGGAAAATCCCTAAGATTGAAGTGAAGTAGAACCAAACAGTAGGTATAGGTATATAATTGTTGAACTAAATCGGGGAGGAACTGAAATAATAGTACTTTTGCTACATCAGTTGAGGTATGTGAGGGAGGGTATTACTTGACAGTGCCTATATTATTAGGTATTCTGTAACTTTACCATTTGTTACTTATACACATTATTAATTTACAGAAAAGCACAATTAATACAAATCGTAGCAAAAATCAGAAGAAAAATTAAAAAAAGACATTTTTTTTATTACTTCGTAACAGTAGATTTGATCGAAGAAGTGCTTATGACAAAATTTGTAGTACCATTCAAGAGCTTGAATTAAAAAAAAAAGGAAAATGAAATCGGATTAATAGTTCCACAGGTATAGTTGATTCTATAAAACTCAACATCAGCCATCTTTGATTGGCCATCATTTCTATTAGTTACCGCTTTGAAATAACAACCATGATTTTTTGGCATCCTAATAAACGTGTACAACCGCTGTAAAAAGGAAAATTAGTACCCCCAAATTATACCGACATGATGACTGGCCCGTGGAACCATATGGCTTACTTATTAGACCATGAACATGGAACATTGTCAAACCTTACTCAAATGTGGTGCATTATGCCATAATTTGCTTGTTTGGGACTCCCCACTAGTGAATTGATGTTATTTTACTCTCGGGCTCAAGAAGTATTATTATTAAGGAACATCCCTACCACACGTGCAATTCAACTCGATGGGCCTCGATTTCCACACCACACACCTCCTTAAGGGGTTGATTCTGTCCCCTCAGATCAGTATAGCTTGTAAATCAAATTTTTAAATTTGGTATTAGTCGCTTTTATTCGAGGTGCGTATATATCTCTCTTTCCTTGTCTAAGGTATATACAAAATTTCATTAACAAATAAAAAAATTGGATTGCGTAAATGCCAAAGCTGGATTGAGCATGTGCAAATTATTTAAATTCGTCTGCATAGTTGCTTGTTCTTTGCAACAAAAATTTTTTGAAGGTTTGGCCAGTTTTTGGGCTGTAACTTTTTTGCCCAATTTTACCAATTTTCAAAGCGATCCGACATTTCGGCCCAAAGTTATCGTGCACACGGACAGACATTCCTTCCTTGGCGCAAGCCTCGACACCATAACGAACCAAATAGCGAAAAGTAGAATGATAGCTCTTAAGATAACGATCTAGTAGCGACCGGACGAACGGGCGAACGGACAGATGGGCGGATAAAGTGGCCACAATAGCGCATTTTTTTAATGTTTAGGCGCTAAAAAGATTACTGAGAACATTTCATTGATCCCCTCGAACTACTATTCATCCAGTTAAAACCTGTAACTTTAAATTACATTTTGTTTTTTTAAGTTTTTAAACAACCCATATTATCTTACCATTACCATCTCAATTTGCGTGCTTCTTAAGAATCAATCGAAAGAAATAAACACAACATATTTTTACTAATATTGTTTTATTGTTTTAGGATTTCCAAACAAACTTCCAGTAATGTCATCCGAATTTTAAAGAATGCTGTTGAAAAGGTCAAAAAATCACTCCAAAGCAAACAACCCGAAACGCCAGTTCCCCCTGGCGCTGTGAAGTTTTCCCATTCCGCTCATTTATCAAATTTAAAAATTCGAGTGTGCGATTCCGATTTCGATATAATCAACATTAGCCTTTCCGGGATAGAAATGGATTTTTTGTTTAGAGCGAACGAAAGATTCGTTTTTCGTTCATACCTCAACACAATAACCGTTGAACATTTATCGGACGGTACATTATACTCGAAGGTAAGCTCTGATCCTCAACAACCATACAAAATCATGCAGTTGTTCCAAATATCTAGCATACACTGCTACTCACTTTAGAAACACTACAGTCACATTTAATTTACCGATTTTAAAGTATCTACTGAAACAAAATATCGACGTATTTTTTTCAATGCCAAAGATATATGTATAACAAATTACATATGTGCGTCATAATAAACTATCATTTTTTTAAAAGGTAATTTCAACTGATGGAGATAAGGTGTATGAAATCAAATACGTACGACATGCTGCCAACATTATGCAAAAGAACGACATATCTCCAAGCACCGAAGACCTTAGCACCGATGGTAGCTTCAAATTCCAACTGGGTCGGATACACATCACTTTCCTATACAAATTAATCGTGCAACTACAGGTACGCAAGTACCTTTATTATAACTGCTTACTACTGAGTACTCTTGCAGAGGTTTATTTTGAATTTGGAGGGCGTCGCTTTTGTTCGATGTATAGTACACTTCTTACGAACTTCTCTAAACCGGGCAACTGATACAATGAAAGGACATGCCAAGATTAATTTATCCATCAATATCCAGGGTCCTGTCCTGCTGTTTCCTCAGAAATCCGATTCACCTAATGTGATCGTGTTTGATACAGGTACAATATTTGTGTAGTTTGCAGAGTACCTATCGCTCTATAATTATGTTCTTTTACAGGTGAACTGAATATTGAAAACTTCTTCAAGGAGTACACCACTGAAAGAATAGAAAATATTTTAATTAAACTGAAAGATATTACTGTATTGAGAGGGATAATGACATTAACTTCCAGTTTAGAAATGCAGGTGAGACAGAGATGATATATCTACTTATTTACGTGAACAATACTAATATTGGCGTAGATTTCTGTATGGTATTTATGTTTCCAAGCAATCCAAAACCTTCCAAAATTCTTTAGCTGAAGTAACGTCAAGATACCTATTACCAGCACTCCTATTATCTATCGAATGAATGAAATGATAATAATAAAGCTTTCAGAGCCTATATAATGAAAAAAATGTGCTTTTTTCGTTAATATTATATTCCATCGCAATATAGAACTCGGAAGAAGAAACCATCTACCCCCGGACACGAAGAAGAAAACGTCTCAACTCATTAAAATGTATTAATACTCTCAAGGTTAAGGGAAAATATAACAATGAAATGTTTAGTGTTAGGTTTCACATATAAAATATAACGTTAATGTAAATTAGCTATATACAAATAGTGAAGAACGTAATCCCTTATGATCCGTGATATTCAAGCGACGTTAATTAATTAAATAAACAAAATTGCGATGCAATCACGCATTTTTAAAAAGCGTAATTAGACATCTTCTAGTATAAAAACACTCACGTCAATCATCGCAGGTAACGCCCGCTGCAAAACTGGTCGCTTGTGAGTTGCACACAAATTCTGATATTATATTTTTATCTCTATAGGGCTCATGCGAAGAAAAAATCGTAAGTTTTGCAGTGGGCGGCTACCTGCGATTGTTCTTATACTAAAACGACGTATAATAGAAGATATTGTGATAATGTTGAAAAAATTTGGTGTTATGCACCTTTTGATTAGTTGAAGATAAAAGTAGCACAAGATACAGCAAATTAAAGGAAATTTAATGCCCTACAACTTCGTTTCTCAACGTCTCAAAAGATCGTTAGAATCGAATGTTTGACAAAAATAGCTGGGTAAAAATGAATTTTTCGAAAATTATGGATACTTATTCCATAACATATAACTGGAAAACCGTTCACCGTTTCCGAAATATCAAAAAAAACATTTGTGCCTCCCTTCCCACCTTAAGCCCACCTCATATCACTTACCGCGATAGGTACCACCATAGATTAATGTTTACTTTACAGAAGGGTTAACATTTGTAGAAGTCAAAAGTTAATTCGTTAAGCAAATTCTTAACTGCGTTAATTAACGATTAACGGATTATCGAGTTAATGCACACGTATGTTACCTAATAACATTTCCGTTAATACAGTTATTCAATTCCATCCTTCTATTTCCCCTTACACCTCCCCTGATCTGCACTCCTACGTCACTTGACACGTCATTGCAATCTTTTGTCGCTACCGGATCTACTTTCTCCCATTGATTGTAAGTCCGGCCCTTTTTTCGAGTCAGCTTGAGCTGAATATAATGTTCATTTTTGCGTGTAAGCCACATGGATAATTTCTTTTCATTTGTTGTTTTCTAGACGCTCTTTGGACCGCTTCCCTGCTCAGTGTTTTGTTAGGACGTTACTTTATTTCCTGATTCTAGCATCCTTTATCCAAAATTCCAAATTCCAAAACATTTCTTTCGAAGGTGGCCACGGTTTACACCGCCAGCTTGATAAAATAATCTTCAGTTTTTTCATCTTTGTCCTCTGCACGTATACGTTGTCTGTGTCTGCACTTACGGAGTCGACTTCTTTGTTTTTCCTACAGGTGTAGAAGTGGTTAGTCTTCCTGTTTCTCTCTTGATTTTTGTTTTTCTCTAGTCTAGATTTTCTAGTTTATGAAAACGTTTATAAACCTGATTGCTCATAATTTAACGTTTGAATTTATCTCACGCATCCATGCCGTCACGTAATCCCACCGGCACCAAAAGGATTAGAGAAGTTTCCAAAGATATTCGATAGACATTTCTTTATCGTCGGATGGACACGTCTCCGACACGAAGCCACTCCCACCGTGAACAAAATGCTGCTAGTGACCGTATTATAAAGATTTGCGGTCATTCTCATACCCACTTCCCCATCCGAGCACAATCTTGGTAGAGATTTTATTCTCGAGTTGACTTACCTACATTTCACTATTGAAAACAAATTGGTCTTTTTACGACAGTTAACGATGTGCACTGATTACTTCTAATTTGCATTATAGGAGACAATGGTTGAACCGGTTCATGTCCAATTGGACGTGAAGCACTTCATCAGTCATTCAAAATCAGTGAAAAAACTGTTCACGTGGGATATAGATGGAGCTTTGGACGTTATCCAAATTACGCTTGGTCAACGTGATCTCTCGATAATCTTAGCAGTTTACGTTGACAATATCGGCGAAGGAAAATTGATCGATCTCATTCCGACAACCATAAAAACTTATCAGGAAGCCATAGAAAACGATGACACGGTTAAAACGCTAGAGGCATTCTTTTGCGAACCCAAGCAGAAAGACATATCCTTAAAGTTTTCGGTAGATGCCGTCAAAGTGCTTCTGTTCTTTGATTCGGGCGAACTTCTTAGCTCGCCGATTCGCGATTTGAACCACGGTTTGTGCAAATTTGAGATATCAGATATTCTAACGTCGTTAATTATTTTCACGGATAAAAGCTTCGAAGGGAAGCTATCCATCGACAGCTTGTTGATCGAAGAGCTAGGACCCGATGCTAATATTTACGATAAAGAGTAAGTTAAGAAGATAATAATCTGCTCGAGTAATGTTTGTTTTTTTAGAATTTTGCATTCTCCAGTAGATAGTAATAAAAATAACAACTGCAATATCACCGTAAATAAGCCACCAATAATCGACATTACGTTTCATCAAAATAAAACGGAAGACAAGACGATAGATATCATTGTGGGCCGGCTAAGTCTGTGCCTTTCAGTTCCGTTGTGCGAAAAAATTGCACTGTTTGTTTTGGAATGTCTTCCCAGAGAGAATATCGATTTGGGTATTATAAACCATGGATACATCGGTGATATACAAGGAGATAATGGTCAGACGAGTCCTCACAAAGGTTCAAGTATTACAGTTGCTCTTCGCGTAAATAAACCCGAATTTATTTTTCTAATTGAGACAACTTCGAACAAGAAGAGGTATTTCATCACGAAAGCTGAAATTTTGTCAGACTATTCGCGGCATAGTTCCAGACTAAACCTAACGCTCTCCCTATCTGGTTTTCATACACTTTTTTACGACCTAGGTTTAAATACGTCAACTCCGTACGTTGTTTTGAAAAGGTGCGATGTGGAATTTTCAAAAACATGCACAGAAGTGAAAGGCGAGAAGATAACCATGACGGTTTCTTCACTTTGTGTACAGCTTTGTAGCGGCGTTGTTCATTCGATTAATGATATACTGAATGACATAATTGATCATTTTAAAATACCCGAACTGCCTCTCGAAATAAGAAAGAGCAAATCTAAGTTGGATTCCGACGACCTTTGGGAACCAAAAAAACTAAACGATATTGTAACCAGAGTCGAAGATGATTACGAAAAAATAAGCACAAAAGACAAAATACACGAACTGATTTTATTTCCGAAAACGGAAGTCGTGGTCGTATTTGAACTGGATGAAATACCCGTAATCGTTTTTAAGTCGACTATCGAAATGACCGTCTGCGATTGGAGTTCGTTATTAAATAGTACTTGCGAAATAACAATCCAAGCAAACTACTACAACGAAAGTTTACAAACGTGGGAACCGGTGATTGATCCTGTAGTCGCTAACGAAAACAATTATGTACCGTGGGATATCATGATCAAAGTGTTTCAAGATAAAGCTTTGCCTATTTTAAATACAGCTGATAATAAAGTTAAAAAGGACTATTCCAAAACTAGAAAGGCGAGTCCTTCTCCTTCGTCAACTGAAGATGACGAATCAAAGGACGGGATGGTGTATCTCCAGCCCCCAAAAATGTATCACAAATTCAACAGCAAAGGCATTAAAACTAGTTTATCTACATTTTTAGATGAGACTGATTCAGAGAATGAAGACGGTGCCATGGAAAAACTAGCTTCCGCTATTTCAGATTTATTTACAGGGTAGGCACTTAGATAAACTTTGATCACTGTACACATAAAACGATTTTAGAGACTGGAATGAAAGTGAAGAAAGCGATTACGATCACTCAAGTGACGCCGAAGACGAATCCGAAGATAATCTAGATTCAAAACTGCAAAGTGCTCGTCCAAGCGTAGAATTAACAAAACGATTCAAGAAGTCCACATACTTTCTGATCGATACAAAGGAATCATTAAATATCACTATAACGCCCGCGTTTTTGAAAGTGTTAAATGAAATTTTTACTGTATACTCCAGTAAGACTTTGTCCATAATGCCTATAACCAAGTCCATTAACTTATTAAATGATATTGGACCAAAAACTGTTGTGGAACTATACGAATCTAAAGGGACCGAACTCTTACAAGAGAAAGTACTGGTCCATAGTAAGGCATACGAAAATGAGGAATCATGTCCAAATAGTCCAACGAAAACGGTACAAGATTTTATTGAAGAATCGAATGATGACAGAGACAGGTGAGTGGAAGATGGTAGAAAAGTAATACCCAAATTCGTTTTTAGTTTGTCAGAGGAACTGTTAAAGTTAGATTTAGACTTAAGCTACGACTATGAGCTAACAGACACCCTTCAGTTTCCCATCACAACTTCAGCGAGATTGTATGAAAAAATCCACAGGCACTTTTTGAAAATACACATTCCTGGATTTTTACCGTTACAAACCAACTGTCCTAAAAAAAATTGGCAGAAGTTCATTCCGTTGCAATCGAGTTCTCATAATAAAACATACTATCTCATTGCGAAGCACAATATTAATAAACATGGCAGGACTGTCGTCGTCAGTTCGCCTTTGCAGGTAAATACCGGTACGCAAACATTGGTCATTTTCTTTTAAACTGATCTGCAGATACGTAACGAAACGTGCTTTGCACTCAGTGTGCTTTATCAACCGTCCATTTTGCAACAACTGAACCTAGAACCGGTGGGAGATGTAATGAACCCCTTCGAGACCACCATGCGCATAACAGTCCTAGAACCACACGAACATTACAACGTGCCTCTTTACATCGCATATCACTGCAAATTGTTTATTCAGCCCGCTTATGCTGAGTAAGTCAGCGCGATGTTCATTACGCTGTCTTAATGATACATTACAGGGGACACTATATGTCCGAAACTGGATTATGGTGGAAAGATCTGGCAACTGAACTGGATATGCCCCATCATATCACCTGTAAACCAAAATCCACATCTAACTTAGAAGTATTTGCCCTGAAAGTGTTACTAAATCGGAATGTCGACGTCCGAAATTCTCACTTGTACGCGAGTCCCAATTACGTTATCCGCCTACTTCCTCCTCTCGCATTCCAAAATTTACTACCCTACACATTGGAGGTACAAAATATTGAGCTTAAACAGCAAATGAAGGTCGAACCAGGGGAGAAGTCAAGCATATACTCCATCGATCTATCTAAAGATCAGAGATTTTTGGTAAAAGTTTCCTATTCCGGGTTTGTATGGACCGGATTACTAAACGTAACTGCGGATTTCGACGAAAAAATTATTATGCTGTCGACGGATGCCAAATCAAATGGGACCAATAAACAGTTACCTATTCACGTCAAGATTGAGAAAGAAAATAATTATAACATATTTTTTTATGCGTCGTACTGGATCGTAAATAAGACTGAGCTGCCTCTTCAATTAAAGGTAAGTTTTTTGACGTGTAGGACTGCTGATAATCGTTCATCTATAGGCAACGTCCAATCCGAATATTTTTGAGAGCACAAACGAAGATATCTTATTATTTTCGTTCAAAAGGCACACAAAACAAAGCATAACTCTCAGAGTGTATGAGTCAAATTGGTCAAATGATTTTGGTTTAGATTGTGCTGGAACTACTGGTTTGGTGGTATGCAAGGATCATGAAAGGAAAAAGAGGTACTCGCTCCTCCTTTCAATACGACTCTCTGAAATGTGCCCGCAATACACAAAAGTTGTTACATTCCTGCCCAGTTTTATTATTATAAATAGTACCAGGAAACATTTAAGGTAAGTTCAAATGTAATTGTTAAGCAGGTGGTATTCTAAACAGTATTTTACTTAGTTTTACACCCCTTGAGTCCACTCTAAACCATAACTGTTGGATTTACAGTAAACATGTAGGTTTTGAATATAAAATTTAAAGATGTAGGTACTGTGTAGGTATATTATTTCATATAGGTACCAATACTGCTAACAGAATTTAATGGTTTCGTAGTCCAGTCATTATAAATGTTATCTTCGGAAAAATTCCTAGTGAGCTGAATTTTTGTATACTTACACCTTTATTACGGCATTTTAATGAATATGTGAAAAATCGGCATTGATATCATGCCGGCTAAAATAATTTTTTAGGCATCATCACAAAAACGTTGATTTTGTGGTCGCCTTTGCGGCCATAAAGTTTCACTTTATTGTACGCTTCTGTCAAACTTTACTTTATTGTAGGTACACATCTGTCAAACTGTACTTATTTGAAACTGATGTGTAAGAAACAGTAATCTGTTTGATACAAAGCGTCTATCTGGTCTAGCCCCATCAAGAATTGGGTCATCTATGTGCGTTTTTTCATTTTCGGACTTGTAGGAATGTTTCACACTATTTTGCATAAACACAATGTTCACATTTAAAATTATAGTTTGACGTTTCAATCTTTGCTGCTTGCAGAACTTTTTGAAGTGTAGAACCAAAACATGAGGAAGATGTTATTGTTTACATTATTCTACGAAGAATCACCAGCAATTAACACAAGTAGCTACCTATACCTACCATCAAAGCAGGTAATCAGGTTTCCAATAATTGTACAGGTATAAGGTCTTGGAAGCTACAGTTACGTAGGACCTATTGCATTTGACATTATTTAAATCTTGTGCAACGGAGGAAGTTGCGATTGTACTTTTACTCTCAAACGCCTGCTCTTATATCATACGTATATGACTTAGGGTCGCAACGCTTGCAGCTTCCAAAATTTCATTTGGGGTATCTGAACTGTCGCTATCACCCATTTTGATACGCACAAAACACACGCAAAGATGCTAATTATAATTACATATGACAGGAAATGCTTTGTTTTTAATTGTCTAAGATAACTATGATTTTCAGAAAAAATATGTTTATGAGCAAATTTTTGAATTCTTTTTTGATGATCGCCTAAAAAATGTTGTGTGCACCTTGGCCAAAAGTGATTTGTTAGGCCTCATCTGAATTGCGGCCTCGGCTACCGCCTCGGTCGCAAACAGCAGCTTCGGCCAAAAAAGATCACTTTTACGGCCTTGGTACACAAATAAGTAATAAAGGTCAAAAGGTTGCGAAAATCAGTTTTTCGCGAATATCTCGCGACCTATTGCTCGGAGGACAATAGCGGTTTTTACAAAACTTATTCACCGTGCAATTATCTGTAAAAAAATGTCTATCGTATTTTTTGTAAGATGAACCATTTTTGGAGTAGAGCGCTGAGAATGTGACTACATTATGATTATGCACTCGTTTCGTACCACTCCGAGGTAGACAAATCTCGTATTTTTTACATGGTTTCCCCTGTAGGCATAATCCATGGTATGTAATAAAAGGTTTTTATTTGAGAGTGAGGAATTTTCTATTTAAAACTGAAAAATACATCAAAAACAATAAACTTTCGTACGTAATTTTTTTAATTCATTCATTGTCGATATCCTCTAACTTTATAGCATCTCAAACCAATTTTTTTGTATCCACATTTGCCGCTATAATTTCTACAATTACAAAGGATTGGCTTTCGTAGATCATCAGGTGCTGGTGGTAATGAGGTTGTTACAGGCTGCAGTATGTTATTTTTTAACTCCCAATTTTCTTGTCGAAATTTTTCTGCAGAATTATTTCATTCGGGTCTTTTTGCAAACATCTTCATGACTTTAATTTTAATATACTTAAAAACATGAATAAATAGCAATCAAGTTTACGCTTTGGTGTACGGTATACTCGTACAATACCTACCGTATATGAATGCATTCTAGTAGCCTTCTGAGCGCTCTACTTCAAAAAAACGGTTGATCCTACAGAAAAACGAAAGAGTCATTTTTTGTAGATACTTGTACGATGAACAATTTTTGTAATAACCTCTATTGTCCTCCGAACAATAGGTCACAAGATATTCGCGAAAAACTGATTTTCGCAAACCTTTTGACCTTAATATCTTTTTTATCCGGCACGATATCAATGTCGATTTTTCACATATTCATTAAAATGCCGTAATAAAGGTGTATACAAAACTTCTAAAATGACTGGACTATTCGATACATACAATTTCATCTGTCTAAAGCTTTTTCTTGATTAATAACTTCAGGCATGTTTCCGGTTTTTTTATGTTACAGAGAGCGCCTAACATTAAATAAGGTAAAGAAAATTGGGTTCACCTGAATACCAAATATCTTTAAAAAAAATTTTAAAATCTCTTCTGAAGGGCGCCTAATTTTACGCAACCAAAATACCTTACTAAAACAAATAAAGATCTGGCTGTCCTTAATTAATTTGAATATTGCTTGCTTTGACAAATAGGGTTGAAAATGTCCTTTGTTTTTTATAAAAATTGAAATTTCAACAATAAAACTATATTACTAAGACATTACTCAAATGCCGACGACTAACTCCTAGTCCTTTTTACCAAAACTTTACCTCCATGATAATTCTTTTTGGTTACGTGAGAAATGTGCGTTTTGTAATCAGAAAATTGGCTACAACTTTCCACTTTCCAGCAAAATATCAACACTGAAAGGCCATATAATCTTATATTGAAACAAAGCTTTGAATAAATGTTAGATTCAAAGAACAAAGTCGAAAAATGTCAAATATTGTTTAAGAATGCATCTCCCTTTTACATTGACCTTTCAATTACTAATCTTTCTACCTGTCACAATTTGGATAATAAAATTTTCTTTGAAATGGCCACATAATTTTGTATTTATACCATAATTTTTCCTTTTCCGCGCCCATATATGGGTAGGCAATCTGTCCGTGAACACGATAACTGCCAAACGCTTGGGCCGATTCGGTTCAAACTTTGCACAGTTGACCTATAATGCTACATGTAACAATCCTATTGAAAGTGGATCAAATCCAATTATCCGTATGGTCACTCCGAGGAGGTGCTCTGACGCTTTTTTAGATACACTTTAGGGGTTTATTTTCATCATAGAAAAGTCCATGGTCCGGTTTGTTGGCACGATAACTCAAAATTGAATGGGACAAATAGCGTACATGTTTGCACGCGTATTACTTGCCACTTGGAGACGACACCTATATTAATTTTCAGACCAGTAGACCGGATCTCTCTGCGCATGCGCACAAGTAACTTTATCTGACAAACTATTGGTCTCACAAAAAAATTATTCAGACATTTTTGAAAAAAAATAAAAATTGAAATTGAAAAAATTTGTAATGAAAATTATTCCTTGAAAACCCCTCTATTAAAATGATCTGAAGTCATTTTTTTATCAAATGCCCAGAAAAAAAGTTATAAGAACCAACTTTGTTGTTTTTGGTTCTACGACTAAAAGTTACTGAACCAAAGTTGTAGAAAATTTTATTTTTATTCAAAAATGTCTGAATTTTTTGTGAGACCAAAAGTTTGTCAGATAAACCATAAAAACCATTTTCACCCCTTTTTCAAGATGGCGGCCGCGGGACAATGGCTGCAAACCTCACAAGCTTGAATTTAACTTTAAACTCTCCTTGATATCTAAAAAATAAAATCGCGTCCTCTGATAAATGCACGCTAAGCCCAAAAAATATAACATTTCAATGGACTAATCCGGCCCTACTGAAATTTTAACAGTAGGTAGCAACTAGCACCTTTTAATGCAGACAAGACAAAGGGATCGATTATATTAGACGTATGAAAAAACTTCACGTGCACGTATGTACAGAGGTAAATTCCTATTTCTGAACAGATCTTGTTTGAAGTTTGAACAGCGGCGCCTTTTGGTAAAGGTCAAATCAACCCATTATATTAAACTTGTAAAAAAAACTGCGCACTTGCGAATGTACGACTTCTATTCACCATTCGTTTTACAACGAAATGCGAAACGCGTTTTCTAACATGACCACTAAGGTCGCTATGAATTTATTTAGACTATTTTCTGACCAACTCGACTAACAAAACGCAAATTAATCAATCTCTTTTGGACCGTACTTTTTTCAACTAACGGCTCTTCGAATGCTCTATTTCTTTTTTGCTCCACTGCCAAAAGCGAATAAATGTAACTTTTGCAAAGTATTCCTCTCTCTAAATACGCATAAATTTTTTAATGCACAATGGTGGAAAAAGTTATGGCGCGAATATTTTATTAATTTTCATTGGTTCAGCCGGCTTTTATCGAGCTTTATTTAATTTGGTGAGTTGCAGAAATAACAGAAGACGACGAATTTTCAGCGTGTAATTTAAAACCATAGCCAAGCAATTAGTCGTCTCGTTCCAGCCGTACACACCAACGGCGGTTGTACCCCACTGGGTCGGGACGTGCCGGAATTCATTTCAACCTCTACGATCGCAATGAAACGACGATACATTGATCGGTGTTGTTAACATGACCGCAAGTCAACCACAAAAATGTTGTTTGGTCAACCATGTGGTGCAGTCGATCGGACCACAATTCTGTGGTTACCTGAACTGCAAAATGCGGCTCGAGTACGGCCGCCCTTAAGCTGGAACTTTCACTTTTCTCTATAATTTTCAGTATATAATTGCCCATTAAAAGACCGAAACGGGATCAAAGCAAATGTCACGACATCGTGTCCTGCAAGCTAATAATCGCCTCGTAACACTTTTGTAATTGTCCGAAAGTTTTAAATGCGAATCCATCGCCTGCTGGTTGTGCCGAAAAAGTTTTTTATCGCTGTATATTCATAATGTACGCAAAATGACAAATTGCACGACTTTTGATTTTACGAATTCGATTATTGATAACTATATCAATTTGGACTAAAGAATAGTTCGGCGCAATTTTTTTGCTACGGGTCTTTGTCTTAAACTCACAGAGAAACTCCAATGCGAGTTATTAAAAAAACACTAGGTATTATTTTAACGTGATCTCTACGACGACTCGAGTCCAATTAAATTCCTTCCCTTCTTCCACTTCAGTACTTCCTTCTATACCTGTGCTAAAACGTTTCAATAGACCTATTTAAGATATCAAAAAACACTTCAAAGCATTTCAGTAGAAATGACACAAACCACTTGCTTCCTACGAAAATTTTAAATTGCAGTCTACCACTTACGCTGTATCACTAGAAAACTGACAAAAAATGTTATCCATTGATATCATGAAAGACACATTTGTATAAAACCTTCATAATTTATGAACGTATGGTCTTAATACAACCTTCCTCTTCAACCACATAAGATCAAGCTTGGACTGTACTACAATGTAGCCCTTTTAGGTTTATGGAACACAACGAAAAAACTGACTTATGGGTTGACCTACCCCCAAATCAGCACAAACTCTTTTGGCCCGAAACTGGATCCATGGAAATGTACGTCAAGTATAGAGACAGCAAACTAAATTCTCAGCCATTTTTTATTGCAACCGTCCACCACACTGTACTTCGTATGGACAAGGGGGTAATCACCAATTTCGTTTAGGTCCGAATGTAAATTGTCAAATTCCAGACCGCGATTTGTGTTAACGTGACCGGCGGTACAAGCGGACCGTTTCACGTAACTTTTAAGGAATACGCGGAAGGGGATGCTCCAATACTGATAAAAAATATGTGCGCAGATTTGTTTTTGAAAATTCAACAACAAGGTCAAAGCCCTGTTACCCTCCTAAACCCGTTCACTTCACTAATGTATACGTGGGACGACCCGATTAAACCTCGTCAATTATTGTGGAATGTTTATAACAATAAAGGATCCGGATTTTTTATAGACGTGTTCAAGGATGGGTGAGTGACTATTACTTGACGTCACTCTAACTTGTCTTTTCAGTTATGGAGAAGAAAGGATCAATTTTCACAGTGTGCCCTCAGGAAGTGCAAATCCGAACAAGTCGAGTGTCGAAAGTTCGAGTAGCGAAGATTCAGATACAGCAGACAGTGTAAAAACTACGCTGAACCGTAAAGTTCGTAGGGACAAGATCGTCGTGTATTGGATTTGTTACAGCGACGGGCTTCAAAAAACGCTTTTGTTTACTCAAGAGCAAAAAATCGCCACCTTTACCATGAAGTCATATTTAACCAGGCTGTGTGACGTGGAGTGCTTGATATCCATGTCAGGTATTGGAATTTCAATTTTTGGTAAGAACCTCAAGAAGGAGATAGCATACGTATCCGTGTCAGATGCTCCAGCCGTATGGGAAGTAAACGTGGGTCACAAGTGGAAAACTCTCACTCTGGAACTGGCTTCCTGGATTGAGGATAAATATCGGTTGCACTATAAGAAGTGCCAATTAAAGGACTACATCCACATAGACTTTGAAAAGATGTTTATGCTGAAGCCTTTCTTCGCTGAACTGCGACGATGTTACAACTCCGCTATTTATGGACTATACAGAAGATCGCGTAACCATCAATATCTTAGTGTTAAAGTACAGTCGCTTCAAATTGACAACAAGCAATCATCTTCGAATGACTTTGTCATCTTGCACCCAACACCGTCTGTCAACATAAAAGGAACAAATCCATTCATAGATCTAGCAGTTTTTAAGTTTTATAACACAAATGTTAGCGTTTACAAAGACATACGGTTGAATGTCGAACAATTTTATTTTCATCTAGAATCTCAGCTTCTGACTGAGGTAGCTGAACTACTATCCGAACCTTTCAAAATAAAGGAAAACGTCATAGGCCTCTACCGTCTTGAAATCGGCAGCATCCATGCACCTTTAATTGCACCATCTAAGGTTTTTCATCATTTCATTACAGTAAAATGTCTCATCGATTTTTTTGTAGGAATCAGAAATGTGGAATACCAGAATAGAATGTCTTCAAATATCTCCTATTACAGTTCAGTTAAATATTTCCAGCAGAAATCAATCACATAATCAAAACTTTAATATTCTATTCAGCAACCTATTTAATTATTTATTTCCATTGAATGCATCCCCCTACATGCCAGCGGAAGGGGTGCAGCATAGGTACCAGATTTACTGGTTTTCCATATCATGCATCATAGCATTTTTTAGAGTTTCGCCTCTTGAATTAATCGATGTCAAAGGTTCAAACGCAGATGTCTTCTTTGAGATTCTACAGCATTTAAAGTCTCAATTTCTACAGCAGTATTACTCCCAAGTATTAGGTTTACAGGTACTGGTTAATAGTTACTCTGTTCAATCCGTTGCAAATCATGAGGTAAGCTCAATGCCATACGAAGCTATTTAATGCAAAATTTTGAAATTCATTTCAGTGTGCTCTCAAAGAATACGACAAAACAGCCAACTTGCTAATATCTGGTTGTCGGTGCCTCTTAGGTCATGTCAATATGTCACCAGCTGCATTGGAACAATGTGTTTTGGAAACTTTCGCGCATCAATCTATTGAGAATACGCATCGTATTAGGAGGCATGATTCGTATCATAAGACAAGCACGGTTCCCAAAAGTGTTACCACGCTAAGTAAAAACTTTAACACTGGCGTTACAATAGCTCTCAGTCAATTAATTGCTAAACACAGTCAGAATGGTGAGCCCAACAGAACACAATATACTAACAGCTCAAACAAAACATATTTTAGGAATGCATTATGACGGAGAAGTATTTTTCAGAGGTACAGGTAAAGCTCTGTTTTCACTTATAACTAGGCACCCTGACGACAAGTCTGACAACGTACAAGTCGCGATTGAAGCATTGAGGAGAGCCTGTATTTTGGGTGAACCTATTTCGATTCACCAGAGATTGACGCGGTATTGCAATCCACATCTGGTAATTTAATGTCTATACCATTGCGATTTTTACCTACATTACACTTAGGGCTTAAAACCTTTCTGTATATATGAATCCATGGGGAATCATTTGCTGGAGAGTATCGCCAATTACAAGTACTTTGAAGATTCATATTGGGCCCATGCACCCACTGATAAAGTGGGAAAGTCCGTTATAATTCTGAGCTTACAGTACGTATTCTGTTCACCTACGTTGTAGTGACGTGAAAGATATTGAGTAATAAAAAATTGCTTTTTGATCCAAAATTCAATCATTTTGATATTCAAAAATGCCACGTCACTTTCTTGCTACACATGTGTGAATTACGCATTGTGTTTTATTTTAGGCACATAATTCGAGTAAACAAGTGCAGATTGTGGGGCACTTGGGAAGTAGAATGGTGTTTAGATTTAGATGATATCATTTCTGTGCCCCAAATAGAAACAAAAGAATTAGTTCTCAACGTGCGACAGGTAACTAAAACGCCCTACAGACGGTACGATTTCTTGTACGACTTATCGTACATTCGTACGACAAGTCGTATCAATCGTTTCAACTTGTCGTATGACGCAATTCCCTACAAACGTAAACGATAAGTCAAATGACGCCGTTACATACGGTACGATTGTTCAGACGGTAGTATCGATCCAAAGTCGTACCGTCTGTTGGGTCATTCTCATTTTTTAGTATCCACATTTACAAAAGTGACTATAACTACAATGTCATTAGGATGAAAATAAATACGCAACTTCAACAGAAAACTTAACAATTTGTGGCGATAAAGAAACATTAATGTGGCTTAAAGAAAAAATCGAACAAGCCATTGTTGTAAGTATGGAAGACAAATCTTGGACAACAACAGAGTAATTATATTTTACATTTTATGGAAATAACCTATGGTTACTGTTCAACATGAATAAAGATTTATGTCGTTTTATTATTTTGATGCTTGATGATTAACAAGAAACCTCTCCTCCAAGTAAACGCATTACCCGCATGTCTGTCCCAGAGAGATCTACCTACCCTCAAAATATTCGCTCTTGGAAGGTTCGCCTCCGAAAGTTTGACCTCCAGAATTCTCGTCCTCAAGGAAAATTCTCCGTCACCCCAATACTGGCACTTGCAATAATGACTATAGATATCAGTTAACACTCAGCTCTGTGACATTCGGCTACCGAAGAATTCGTCTCCGAAAGATTCGCTCTCGGAAGTTTCGCCTCTGGAATATTCATCTTAGGATACTGGCCCCTCAAACATTCGTCTCTGAAAGATTGTCCCTAAGAATTTTCGCCTCCAAGGAAAATTCACCCCTTCGAGTTGCCCGAAACTTCTTCCCAGGAGAATTTACGTTCTAGAAAGCTCCACAACTCCCGTTTGAAATATTTATAATCTCAATTCTAAATTCATTTTTATTTCTATGGCACAATCTATACTCTCTGGCTCTGCGAATTTTCCTCTTTAAAAAATATCGCTTTCAAGTAAGTAATACTACATTCACGTAAGATAAAAGTACACTTACAGCTCGCCCTTGAAATCATTCCTATCTACTCAATTTTGTGACAAAATTCGTTTTCGAAAACTTTCCCTTAAAAGAGAACCCTCCCGCAAAACTCTACCTGAAATTTTGGCCCTCGAAGATTTTACGTGACTGGACGTACTAAGCGAGGGGGAGTTTTTTTAAAAAGTTGATCACATTTTTGTAGTTCAGCTGAGTATGAATTTGTGTTGAAAATATTACCTGGTGAGAAAGTTTTCCCGGAGTTTTTCCGAAGTTTGACTTTCTTTACCTTTATTCCACTGAACTATTAAGTACTAACTACTCAGTTTTTCAGTGCTTTCCACTTACTAGAAACGTTTTTAGAATCCTTCGATTATAGTTAGTGATCTGTGTGTGTACCTATACTCTAAAAAACGTTCACTTTTCCCAAATTTATTTAATTATTCTGGTGAGGTCTTTACAGTAAACACAAAATGCTTATTGCGTTTGTTAGTTGTATCCAAGTGGTTTGTTTTTCCTTTTTAAAACATTAATTCCTAGAATTATTAAATGTAGGGGAAATTATCGTTTATTTTGTTATCAATTTTTCTTTGTTAAATTATTTAAGTTATCGTTCTGTTTTAATTTATGGGCACTTTTATTACTTTTGTTAAATAGATGATTTAATTTACTAGCGATAAGACTGCATTTTAACAGGCAAAAACGGAGTGTTTGCATAGAAAAATGTTATAGGAGTATAATGAATCACTGAAAGCAATAAATTATTTGTATCTTTATACACACCGTGTATAATATAAAATGAATCGGACGGCAATACGTTAATATTTTAAGGATTTTCAGGCGCATGTTTGAATTCTACTGCACTCAGTGGCCAGTGCCCACCAACGCCAAGATATACATCGCAAGTAGGGGATTAATCGCATTCTCATAAGTATAACACAACTGTAAATCGCTTGAACAAAACGTTTTAAACTGTTTGGTAGATACTTAAATACAAGATAACCACAACGATGTTTATATTCTAAAATAAGGCGACTACGAAACTACGAAAATGGCAGTAACTACGAAAAGTGGCAATACTACAACGTGATTAAACTAAAACGTTCACAAATACCTTTAGAGTTTCTAGACCAGGAATTCTTGATGCTTTCGAGTCACGGCTTCCTTCCTTTAAAAATTTCCGAAAAACTTCGTCGGCAGCGCGAAGCCAACTTGATGCACACGATGGGTCTCTCTTGGCTTAAATACTTTCTTCGGGATTCGCTTAATGAACAGATTGCCTTAAGATGACACGGCGAGCTTTGCCAAAACTACCATCACAGATTTGGCACTATGTAACGGCGCTTAATGAATGATCATTTCCCACTATATACACTCATATTTATAAATGTCTCTATTGTAAAATCTTTTAGTCATTTAACATTCGGTTGCGGTAGACGTACTTTAACTCGGCTCTCCTTGCTCTACTTCAATTACAATGATCCACTTCATTTACCTCATCCCGAATATACTATGCATTTTTATTAAACGGGCACTTGGAATAAAAGCAAATGTAACACCAGTTTCAAAATTTGGTTTTGTGCATGCGGAGTGCCAACTTTCTTAATTATGAAAGCATTTAAATGAAGTTTGATACATATGTACTTGGAATAAAAGCAAATATAACGCCAACTTCAAAAGTTGATTTTGCACATGCTTTAGCCGTAGCCAGGAGAGCTCGTTTGCTATATTTGTTTACACGTTTATTTTAGATACGCATTCGACCGATTTGATGAGCAGATTCAACTTATTAACCGTGAAACTGTCTTTACAGTGGTTTTATAGTGTTTTTTCAGTTACTGGAATTTGACTCATTTGCTGTGAATTGTCATATTTAATACAGATGAAATTTGAAATTGTCTAGCTAAATTTTGAACAGTGATGTAATTGGATTTTCTTCTACGTACGTTAACATATTTAACTTCATTTCCTCAATTAAAACAAGGCAAGTTCGTTTTCTGGTGTAATGTTAATTAACAACAATTCAACAATGAACATGCATTTTTAGCGCATTTCCACAAAAATAAAATAAAAATGCGCTATTGTGGTCACTTTGTCCGTCCGTCCGTCCGCTCGTTTTGCGACGCTACTAGTTCTTTATCTTAAGAGCTATTGTTCTACTTTTTCCGCTATTTGGTTCGTTATGGTGTCGAGTCTTGTACCAAGGAAGGAATTTTTTCTGTACCGCTTACAAAAAAAGTTATTGTAAAAAAAAACAAAAAACCGTTTTTACATGTTCCATAATTTTACACTTTTGCCGTTTATTAACGATCCTAGAGATCGTTTATAATTTTGCATTGTTATCTGTCGCCTGCCGGTTGGTCTCTCCGTCTGTTCCTTTGTCTGTCTGTCCATCTATCTGTCCGTGTGAACGATAACTTTGTTTAGAAGTGTTCGATCGCTTTTACATCTCCGTTAGTTATGCACTGAATTGCATGAAATTCAATATGGGCATAGATTTAGCCATATAATACGCAATGCCAAAAGTTGAATCGAATCGATTCAAAATTCACAGTGCCCTTTTTGCATCTCGACCATAAACCGAATTGCAAACTTTTTTACTTATAAAAGTATTTGAATGAAATTTGATACATACATAGGCACTTGGAATAAAGGAAAATCAAACGCCAATTTCAAAATTTGGTTTTGCGCATGCGCAGTGTCAACTTTTTTATTTATGGAAGAATTTAAACGAAATTTGATACATAGGCACTTGGGATAAAGGAAAATCAAACTCCAATTTCAAAATTTGGTTTTGCGCATGCGCAGTGCCAACTTTTTTATTTATGGAAGAATTTAAACGAAATTTGATACATAGGCACATGGAATAAAGGAAAATCAAACGCCAGTTTCAAAATTTGGTTTTGCGCATGCGCAGTGCCAACTTTTTTATGTATGGAAGAACTTAAACGAAATTTGATACATAGGCACTTGGGATAAAGGAAAATCAAACCCCAATTTCAAAATTTGGTTTTGCGCATGCGCAGTGCCAACTTTTTTATTTATGGAAGAATTTAAATGAAATGTGATACATAGGCACTTGAAATAAAGGAAAATCTAGCGCCAGTTTCAAAATTTTATTTTGCGCATGCGCAGTGCCAACTTTTTTATCTATGGAACCATTTAAATGAAATTTGATACTTAGGCGCTTGGAACAAAGGAAAATCTAACATTAGTTTTAAAATTTAGGTTTGCCCATGCGCAGTTCCAACTTTCTTATTTAGAAAAGCATTGAAATGAAATTCTTCTCATAAACTGAAATTGAAGTAGCACGTCAACAATGGATTGCCCATGTGCAACGCTATCTTTCATATTTGTGGCCGGATTTTTACGATTTTATCAGTAGTTGCATCTTACAAATGGGAAATGAATGCAAGTGGAAATGCGCTTTATGTAAATCGTTTACGATTACTTTTTAACTTGTTTATCTACGGAAGCATTTAACTGAAATTTGATACTTAGGCGCTTGGAACAAAGGAAAATCTAACATTAGTTTCAAAATTTAGGTTTGCGCATGCGCAGTTCCAACTTTCTTATTTAGAAAAACATTGAAATGAAATTCTTCTCATAAACTGAAATTGAAGTAGCACGTCAAAAATGGATTGCCCATGTGCAACGCTATCTTTCATATTTGTGGCCGGATTTTTACGATTTTAATAGAAGTTGCATCTTACAATAATGGGAAATGAATGCAAGTGGAAATGCGCTTTATGTAAATCGTTTACGATTACTTTTTAACTTGTTTAATGCTGTTGTGAATTGTGCAATTGACGGAATTTGCTTATCGGGAAATTTAGCAGCAAATAAATCCTCTTATTATTGAAATACAACTGTGACATTACCATTTTTTCTTCTTTTGTATACATACATTTTATTAAGAATATAATTAATAATCCTGATTTAATAAATCATTCAGATATTGACGTTTATTGAAAAACATTTGAAAAAGATGAAAGTAGGTAAGATTGGTTGCATATCTTAAAGGGTAGGTACTTATTTGACTTGTATATTTAAGAATTGAACGTAGGAGATTTACATGTTCAGAGCTAAAATTTACGCACACTGTATGTAACGATAGGTGTGAAATTAGTATCTTATAGCGTTTTCGATTGGCAAAACTCGTACTGCACGAGTGTTGCACGAGAAATTGAAAAAATCCATGTGAAAATTGCTCTCAATGGAACATAAATATTCGTAAATATTTGTTGTCATTTGTCCATAACCTCATTTTAGATTTAGGTAATCGCGAAATCTCTATCCTAAAAAATGACAAACGATTTCAGTATTATTTATGATAAACGATGAGGAATATAAATTTGAAATTCCTGTAAAGGACCAATTTTTGGCGTTCAGTTTAATGAGTAACTGCAACTTTTTGTAAAATAGAAATTATGGCTAGTTCATCATCTTCGCTATCGCTAGATGACGACAAAAAACTCTCCCAACGCCAGAAACAAATTCAAATGGTCGCACGTTTGTTTTGAAAATTTGTTAACTAGCAGCTCCACGAGCTCTCGGACCTCGTGCGTCGAAATTTGCACTGAGTGCGTAATTGTTGCATCACATTTGCCAATGGAACACAGAAAATTGCCCTAAAATTACCAATAGAACGTAAAAATTGCACTCGCGCAGCACGAGTTTTGCCAATCGAAAACGCTATTAATAAGAAAATTATCACACTGACGAGCACAAATGTGATTTGTGAATCGTGCTACATTTTCGATTTCGACCGTTCTGCGCAGATGCGAAGACTAAGGGATTTTCACAACGCAGCTTGGAAAAAAGTATGGTATGCCTTGGTTTGAGCATTGAATTCTAGTTCATTTGTGCTATACATACCGAGCGAACTGCTACTGAAATTCAAAAGTGCCGCGAAACGTACAAATTTTTCATCAGTGTTGCCAACTGTAAGTATAGGCATTGAATTTATAACTAAATTCAATGGTATAGGGTAAGTCACCATTGAGGTGCCGACTTCTGAGGACTCTCAGGATCATTACAAAGTTTCAAGCAAAAAAGGAAGAGGGGCCGTTACTTTTCTTAATTTAAAATCATTTCATTTAATGCTAGCCGAGAATCAATAATTGTGTTAGAAGAAATTCGGGTCGGAAGCGGGCAGGTAAAGACGAAAGAAGTAGTTTTCAACCCCTTCATATGTAAAAGCCCATTCCCCGCCCATATTTTAGGTAAATAACAAGGCCTTTTATAATATTATCGTTTCCTCTATTATAAACACTAGTGTCACACTCAGTCAAAATCATCCTAAAAAATATGTCACAGCACTGTAGGTGTAGGTAGATATTAATTGTCTAAAAATAATTATAAAAGTATAAACTATGTTTCAGGTAATTTATCATGCATTGCCTGTTCAGCCTTATATACTTTTTGACTTATAAGATAATCCCTACCTATTTTAAATAATGTATAATAATTAAAAAATAAAAGTAAAGTGACTGACACAATATTATACCAGTAAAAGTAACTTCTCAATAGCAGAGTCAGCTGAAATAATACAAGAGCCACATGAATTGCCAGTAGCCCAGCAAGAACAATTGATGGATTCCAAAAAATGGTCTAAAATTTGTCTAATTCGAACAGAACTGTTACAAAAACGGTATCACTTACAAAAAATCGGGCATACATTGTATTTCCAGGTTCTGCAGCATTTATCTCTCCCAAGCCACGATAAATGTCACGACCATGTCGAACAAGTGAACCAAATGGCCACAATACATCTTCTTGCCATGTGTGTGTTACTGGTAAATGTGAGCGAGTTTCCACTTTGTCCCAGTAACCTAAATGTAATGCCGATCTATGTAAAATATCACAGTAGCGCAATGGCAAGATATGAATGGCGTATGAAGCAAAACAGCTTAACCAAAGGAAGATGACGTGTTGAGTAGCCCAATTTGTGTCGTAATATACGAAGCTCTGCAATTACACACAGATACATATGCAAATAGTTTCATTTACATATAACACCTGTGCAAAACAGCATGGAAGTAATCCGGCATAATACGCATTAAGAACTGAGCTAAACAGAATCTGTTTCATTCGACCATTGAAATTGCCCTTTAAATTTTCCACTTCACTTCTTATGTCGGCAGCATTTGATGTACAGGCATGTAGAGGAGGTAAACCATCCACATTACAACTGACAAGCTCGAAAAACGGTACAATTGTGAACCCAAACAAAATTACGTACACAGATATACTGTAAAGGATATTGTTACAAAAACACTAACAGTTTGTATTATTCTAAGTCTGTGTGAAGTTAGCAATCAGAATCCATCAGTCACTATGCCTAAAACATTGCTAACAGAAATACAGTAAAATTTAAAAAAAAATAGCCATATGTTATCCACCAGTAAGTAACTAATAACTATGCTGGAATAAAAAGACTTTCAATTATATCAGTACAACATTTGCTAAAAACTTAAGACCACTAAGCTTGTAGGCTATAAAAACAGACCGTCCATTACCAAACTTATTCTTTTTATTTGCTTGCGCCAAATAGAGAACAAATTATTTATTTCATGTTTAATAGGCATACACAACACAATACAGCCAGATCAGTACCTATTTATTACCTAAGATCCAGTGAGCTGGCATATCAATTATTCTTAAGCGGGCACAATTCGAACAGTGCAGCCTGAGGAGCCTATAGCAGACTAAACGTACTTTCATTTTCAAATTTGCTTTTGCTCAGATGTGGTCTAAAAGAGTGAAATCCACTACTATTCTTTTAGCACTTAAACAATTCTTTTATTGTAGCATAGTTACACTGGTGGATAGGAAACGTTTGCCAGTTTGGCTGCTGGAAACAATAAGCTGCTAATTTCACACAGGCGTATACTTACGGATAACAAAGATAAAATATGTTCACAATCGCATGATTTTGAATAATCTCGTATGCACACCAAGACAGCATTACAACCATAAAACCAAAAAGAAACATCCTACAAAATCATAAACGTATTCGGTAAAGACAAATCTTAATTTACCTATAACAGAGACATGTTCCATTCAGGAATTTTTCTGGTAGCCACCTTTCTAAAACTCGACAACCAAGCAGATAAATAAGTCTTCTAGATAAAATAATAAAAATAAAAATCACTAGATTGATGTCGATAAGGTAAAAATTCTGCAAAATGAAGAATAAGTCAAAATTCAACACAGTCAATCTCAACTTACGACAGATTTATTATTATAAGAATGTGGTAACCACCAAACGCTTCGGTACAACTGTAAAAATTGCAATCCTGCAGCTATGATTGTGTACAGAAACATAAGAAATTCAAAAGTTAAATCATTATCGACCGGAGTGTTAGGGAATGGAAAGTGTTTAGGTGCCAATGGTTCTAAACCTGTCAATGATGATGTTCCTATAGATGTGTATTTATTACTGGCCATATCACCTGATACAAGAGGAACAACAGCTGGATGTAGTGTTGAACGAACCGTACGAGGTAGTCGACGTGCTCCGCTTGGCATTATGACGAAACTTTATAGCAGAAAAGTACTCCAACTGAGCTATTAAAATCAACTGCAAAACCAAGTTTATTTCTCTGGTTGTCTATGTAGAACTAGAAAGAATTCAGTTCATCAGTTGAATTTTGATTTTCTTATTTACAAACTGCTGTGTCTCTGCAACTGTCAATCAGATGTCAAAAAGAAGAGAATTCCCTGTGTCAGTGTGTCTAGTAATACGTAGTTCTAGTACAAGATGTTTGAAAAAAAGACAATGTATTTTTCAAACTACCGCGTGATACAGATTAACCCTACAGAGGCGCTGGTGTAATTTACAAATAAAGACCACAATTTATTTATCAATCAATTTCTAACGTACTTGTTCAACTTTACAACTCGCCGACATTCCTTTGTTGATTATGCTTTAAATCCGCTGTGGAAAAATTACAAAAACAATAGGTATTTTTCGATGTATCGTGCTTTGATAAATGACGAACAGACTGCACGTAAATCCATGAATGTGGCATGTTTTAAAATATACCTCTTTAACACATTCGTGGCCAGTACTAGTGACGAAAACGTCCAAAAATAATCAGGTATTTTTTATTAAATTCAAATTATTAGTTAGTTATTATAAATACAAATTGAATTGTGTACATAAACATGATTTTTGTTCAATTTTTTTTTAAAAACAGGACTATTATAGCGGTCACTCTCCCACACGAGTCGTCAATTTTGGTCTTATGGGACAGAACGGCTACGGACCTTTAAAGAGGAACACTGAATATGTATGCCTAATACGAGTACATTATCTTAACTCAAATATATATTCTTTTTACACAAAAAAGTATTGAAATACAAAACAGTTATTTTATTTCATTTAGGTGCCATGCCACGGATCAAAACATCCAACACAAAATGCAGGTTTCACCGAGCATCCGCCACAGTTGTCCCTTTTACTTCACCTGAACGAAATTTCGCCAAAATTACATTTTTCTTTGCCTACTGGGACACCTTTTATATGCTCTCATAAGAATCATACACAGATCGCGCCTGCTGTAGTCGGTACACACTAATAAAATTCGCCTGTAACAGGTTATAAAAATAAATAAAAATTCAAAATGCTTTAATCAACTTCGTTTAAGCGTTAATCGATTGCTAGTAATGCAAGCCAACATTTCTTAAAGTTTTATAATTTTTGAATTTGCCGTTATTGAAAATTTAAAAGAAAAGTTCAAACCAGCTGTCAAATTAACATTACATTGTGTAGCAAAATAAATGGATCAATAGTCTTTTGTAAACTAATATTAAGTACATTTTAGTTTCTAAATATCAAAGGTGTGTCTTTGAAATTTTCAAAAAACGTTTATTCGTTCTCTTTGGGGCCGAGATATGCATGCACAAATGTTATTAAGGAAAGTTCTACGGAATGAAAGTAAATGTGCAAAATTTGAAATGATCCCGTGCGTACAGATATTTTTAGTACAATTGTTTGACTAAGGTCTCTGGGTACATTTAATTAGAATCAAGGTATGGATTAAAATCTACGGTATTTTAATTTGCAATAAAGTAGACAGTCAAACAAATCTCCCCACATCAACACCCATACAAGGTCGCAGCTTGCGAATGACACAAACAGCATAATAGAGCAGCCCTTTTTTCTTAAAATAACTTCGCTTTAGAATCTCGCACGTCTTCGCAAGATAAGATAAATTTGAATCATAATTTACGGTCAAGAATGCCAAGATTTTTAGTGTTGTAATTTGAGCCATTGATTATACACAGTAACTTTTTTAAGAGCGAATAAAAGCAGAGAGCCCAATTACTTCGAGCAACCGCGTATAATCAATGATTGAGCCAAGTATTTCAATAATTTCATTTTTTAATCCTGTAGAGCAATGTGCTGTCGCCGCCCATGTCTTTAAGGTTATGTAGTTTAAAGAGGTTATGTTATTGTTATATTTTTATTTATGTTATTACTTGTTAACCATCGAACTGTAACGTTTGTTAACAAATCTTGATCGGTTGTTTTCAGGTTTCTCATTTCCAAACTACTTTTCCATCTTTAAAGCTGCAATTTAAATCACAACAGCATGGGTGAGCGCAAAGGAACGAACAAATACTACCCGCCAGACTATGACCCCAGAGCGGGGGGTTTAAATAAATGGCAAGGAACACACGCACTAAGGGAACGTGCCCGTAAAATTCATATGGGCATTATCATTGTTCGTTTCGAGATGCCCTTCAATATATGGTGTGAGGGCTGCAATAATCATATTGGAATGGGCGTTCGTTATAATGCGGAAAAAAAGAAAGTTGGAATGTATTATACTACGCCCGTGTTTGAGTTTAAAATGAAATGCCACTTGTGTGATAATCACTTTTTGATTAAAACTGATCCTGGGGTAATACTAAAATGTTTAACGAAATCTTCTGCTAATTTCATAATTGTAGAATTTGGAATACATAGTTTTGTCGGGAGCACGTCGGCAAGAAAATAGATGGGATCCAACACAGAACGAACAAGTTGTGCCTGAAACTAAAGAAACGCAGAAGCGCTTGTTTGATGATTCAATGTTTAAGTTGGAGCATGGTACTGATGATCAAAATTATGCGGAGAATGCAAAGACAGCACTGGTTAATTTATACAATAGAAACGAATCAACATGGGCTGATGATTACAGTGCCAATTGTATGTTAAGACAAGCTTTCAGGGTAAGTTTTATTATTTTCATTGTACCTACACACAGTGTAACAATATTTTTCAGAAAAATAAAAATGATTTTAAAACATCCATTGCAAAAGATAACGCCTTATTGAAAAAGTCCAGTTTGAACATCAAATTGGTGCCAGAAGCAGAAGAAGATAAACAGTTGGCTGCTGTGCTCAGTTTAAAGTTGAAACCCAAACTGGATGCAGAAAAGACCACAGAATTGATCCGAAAGAATATTATCAGCGAGTCATCTTTGCCATGTACTTCTTTTACACCTGCTAAAGAACGAAAAGCCATCAAGGTGTTAAATAACAACGATTTAAAAAAATTAGTTTTAATTAATAAGCCTACACAGGCTAAAAAAATCAAGTTGACGCCTTCTCTAGTGGGAGATTATGGTAACTCCACTAGCGAATCGGAATAAGTGAAGTTAAAAGTTGTGGCATGTACTATACCTACCTGGTTAATCAAAATGTGGAATTTAGAATGAGAGGCCCAAAGTGATATGAAGATTTAAGTCTTATTCAACTATGCCATGTGTTATAAATCAAAAACTGTTTGTCACACAAGCTCTTAAAATACTTTTGAATAAATAAAGTTGGATATTATTGCTGTGACCCTTTAATTTCGAGCTACAATACATTCCAAAAGTAAATGCAATGCCCCACGTTGGGCGCCAAATAAAAATGCTGTTTGCATTGTTCCCAGGTCAAAAAGGACCAATAACAAAACACTACGAACCTACCTTAAGCAAAATTTTGTTAAACATTCAAATAAACTCTGGGCAAGAATTAAATAAAATTAATCATGATGTGAATATGAAACTGCTTTGGTCGTTCGTTCATAATTTATGAGATAAATTTATTTAATTCTCAGGGTCGACCATACAATACAATTTTTCTTAGTGATTACAATGACCATGTTCTCTTCGAAACAATTATCTTTATCTCTTATAAATAAAAGAAAAACTTAATAAATTAATTCGAACTGTCATAGTAGGGGAACTAGCTCGAAATCCACTGAACGAGAATGATCAAAATTTTAACTGATGCGAGTTCCATTTTGCCCTATCCCGAGTATGCTAAAATCGACCGTCTGCCGCCCCTTGGATAATAGCTCTTAAAAAAATATTTTCAAAAATCGCGAACATTGATAACTCCGTAAAAAAACAATTCTTAGTCGGTTTTTCACGAACTTTCTATGGATATAACTAGGTTATGGTTGGATGAATGAAGCTGATTTTTTTTTTACAGACTAATGATATGTACAGCAAATGACTATGGCAGTGTTTCTTTTTTAAATTTTTTCTCTAATTGTAATTATATAAGATATCTTAAGAAAAAACTTTGCATTGGATCGCCACAAAGTCATTGGTAGTGCCTACCATTAGTCTGTAAAAAAATCTGCTTCATTCATCCACCCGTAACCTCCGTAGAAAGTTCGTGAAAAACCGACTTTCATTTGCGTGGTACCAACCTTACTTAACTTCCTTTTAATACCAACTTAAACATTACCCTGGCATAGATGATGTACTTGCTTCTTTTGAAATACCTATTGAAGCTGGAATCAAATGGAGTTTTCTTTAAATATTCACTTTGATCCAATCTTTTATGGAGATTCCTTGTGATTCGTATCGTAAGGCATTGCGTTGCTTCTTCTAGGTCTTTAATTTGAAATACCTTAGATAATTTTTCGGTGACAATTCAACTCATGTATAAAAAATCACATAAGCCGCAGTGTAATTGTCACTTTCACAGCGGCAAAAGTTACCTGCAACTTTTCCAGCGACAAATGCACTAGTGGTTTTTTCACTTATTCATTTTCGAACCAATAATCGCATTATCCTTTCCCATATGACTAGTTTGACGTCTGTCAATAATTGATTAGTTTGGTGAATTTCTTGTTCGTTAAATTGTCCTGCCGAATTACACTCGAGGTTTGTATTTAAACCGAATAAATTTGGGTTGTGGCAATTCAAATCTGTTTCCTTTTAGCAATTGGACTCGAAAAACTGTCAACCTAAAAATGCTCCACCTGCGGTGTCGCATTTTTATTAGTTGACAGTTTTTCTCGTCTAATTGCTAGGCAACAGATTTTCATTACCTAAACAACCCAAATTTACTCGGTAAAATACAAACCTCTTGTGCAATTATAAGTGACAAAATTCTTGTAGTTTTCTTTTATCATAGTCCATGACTAAAAACTCGTGAAAACAGAACCTTTATAATTAATTTGTTCGCGGGCAAGAAGAGGTAGAATAATCTTATCACATGATTTAGATGCAGAATGTATAGGTATCTCTATAACTTTTATTTGAAGTATTTTTGCGTAAAATAATTAGGAAACGTTTGCGCAAAGAAAAAGTAATTTCCCATGTTAAACGCCTATGTTCCACTTTTCGATTTACACCCTGTATATGTACAGTAAGTAGTTGAGCTGGTGGTGGTAGTTAATCACAAGATACAAGACGGTGTAGTAATCACAGGTGACAGAAAAGTAGTTTGATGTTTTTAGTTAAGAGAGTATTTTTTATATTTTGATGTTTTCAAATTTAAATTTTAACCGACACGACGTGGTGTTCATTTACCATTTTGCAAGAGGAATTTTCGAGGGAACTTTGGGTAAAACGCGAGCATAACCCACCTGTGAAAATGTTTAAAAGAGACTGTCTTGCTGAAAAACTTCGTAGAGAAAATGTGGAACAGTTTAATACTCTAGTAAGAATGCATTTATCGTTTGTATTGGATTTAAGCACCGAAGAGTAGGTATTTTAGTAATCTTATGCACCTGTAGTGAGATTCTTTTATTTGACAGAGATGCTTTGTCGGAGAAATCCAAACTAAGGAAATGGAGTTTCATTCCATTTAACAAGAAAAGTAAGATTTGTAGAGGTATTATGGATGGTATCCCCTTGACGCAGGAAGGAATTTGTCAGGTATATCAATTAATCGAGTTTTTGAAGCAAGAACCAAGTAAGGCAGGCTTATAATTTTTCACTTACTGTTAACATATCTTTAGATATATCAACTGAAGGCATATTTAGACGTACCGGATCTTTAGCAAGGCAACAGGAATTAAAAAATTTGTTAAATCAAGGTGTTACCGTCTCCTTGGAAAATAATACTTATTCAGTACACGATTGTGCATCTGTACTGAAAGGATTCCTGGCCGATTTACCTGAACCATTACTTACTGAAGCTCATTATCCGGCTCACTGTCAAATTGCTGGTTAGTACATATATGCCAGGATATACACATTCATATCTAATTTACTTTTAGAATTATGCGGTGTTTGTGAAAATTCGGCGATGGAAGCTAAACTTCTACATGCTCTACAGCTGCTTTTGTTGCTACTTCCATCCGAAAACAGAATTTTGTTAAAGGATGTGCTGGATTTATTACATTACACTGCATCGTACGAAAGGAATAACAAAATGTCAGCTGATAGTTTAGCAACATTATTTACGCCACATTTATTGTGCCCACGCAATTTGACACCGGAAATACTGCACACTAACTCCCAAATCCTTTCTAATACTGTTTCATTTATGATTACAAATTCGTCAAAACTCTTTGAGCTACCTCCCAAGCTGGCAGTGGATATTAAAGCCTATTACACTGAACAAGAACGGCGGAAACTGTCATCTAGAAATTGTAATGAATCACTTAGTGACAATTTTGCTGCAAATACAGTATATAGCTTTGTCGATGTTGAACGTACAACCAAAGAAAATCAGTCAAACCCAACTGAAACTGCGCTAGCACAACTGTATGCGTACATTCAAAGTCTCCCCGAGTCCTCCAAGAAGCAAAAGTTAATAAAACAATTTAACAAAGAAAATGGTTATGGAACTCCATTGCAAGTAATAAGAAGTTCTGTAGCTAACAAGAATAAAAGTGTAGGTAGCTCAATTAAGAAACATATTTTCCAAAGAAGCATTGCCAAGGTTCACAAACGAAACGCAACACCCTTGCGTGCATCCAGTGAAGAACTTTTAAACGTAGGTCACTTTTTGTTAATTTGTGAACGTTATATATGTGCAATTAACAAAATAACAATCGTGCATGTATTTACAGAGTCCTTTTCAAGGGGTGTTGGTTCGAGCTAAGCTATTTTGTAATAAATGTGATTCTAGTTCGGATGATGAGAACATTTCAAAAAAATTACAAACGCCTGTATTAGAAGGGAAGCGTAGTAATTCCGATCCAAATTTATCAATACATAAAGAACGTGAATGCAGCATGTACGTAACAAGTACACCTGCATGCGTTTCTAAACGTATGTATTCCGAACTAGTATTTACACCCGAAGAACAAGGACGTAAGTCAATGTCGCCAATAACACAGTCAGCTCAACGAATGTCAAAAGCTATGCAGGTATTGTACATGCATGAGTAATCTTTTGTTTATTTTACTAACACATTGCTTGTATCCTTATGTTATGTGTTGTGCATAGATAACCGTTTCTTTATCTAGATAACAGATAATCAGGAAAGATATTATCTAGAAGCAGATAGAAGATGATAATTATCTAGATAATTCAAAAGATAATCTTCATGTTATGTATATTTTCATTGCAAGTTTAAGTATGCAGAATTCTTATCAACTCAGACTTACATTTTTTTTAGAAATCTATAGGTAAAGAATAAACCATTCTTTTATTGTGAGAGGAATAGGAGCAAATAGTGTAGCTTGAACAGTGATGATGAGCATGTAATCTCCAAACTTGATGCTTCACATCTCTTTGGCTTCAACATACTTATGTTGAAATTACTGTTGCTCTTTGAGTGTCTTGAGTAAAGGCCGATGTACTCTCTAAAAATATCCACATTGTTGTTGTAAATTAGGTATCCTCGTTTCGAAGTTTGTCCATTTTGAGTTTGAAATATGTTTAAAACCTTGCTTCGCCTAAGTCAATAAACACACCATTATCAATCACATTTATCATTTTCTCTTCCTTATAGTAATTACTACAGAACACTCAATTCTAATTTTTACTAAATGTTTAATAATAATAGGCATCGATATTGGGTCTGGTGGGAGACCAGTGAACCTACATGGTAAACTGAAACAGATCCGTTTTCTGGTTTCCATAAATACGTTATGTAATTTATCTATACCTATGTCCTATGGAAATAAAAGTATTATTATTATTATACATACATGACAATCAGAAGTTTTGATTATTCAAAGAACAGAAACATTCAAATTTACGGGCGAGTTTGTGCAATTGTCGTTTGTATTACATATTCAAGTTTTCATCTCAGTATATTTATGAATAATATGTAAATGATTGCTATATTTTAATTTTGTATAGGTACCTATATGCTTAGATAGATATTGTATGATAGTTTTGCAGTTTCCATTCGGGATCAGGTTCTGTTTTAATATATCCTCAGAATTTAGTTATTAATGCGTAGCTGTACAGCCCTAATTATTAAAGAGCAGTATGGGATATAATTATTCTTATTGTAGGAAACAATGATGACACCACGTAGTCGCAAGCCTGTGTTGCTAGTGTCCCGAACCAATATAAACAATTTACCAAAGATTACCACCAACGAGTGTTCAATCGATAGTATAGAAGAAGAATTATCTGATGCGTATGTTACCTCAAACCCAATGAGGAGATCAAAGAGTGTTGATCAAATCAAAGAAGATACTGAAGATGGTGCCTCATTATCATCCAGTTTCTGTAAATACCTAGAACATAGAGCAACGAGATCACCGACGGACTCAAGTTTTACTAGCTGCGCAGAAGATTATTGCTCTGCGGAAATGAGCGATAACAAACTGAGCTCATCTCTACTGCACTGTCTTAATGGTTATTCACCACCTCTAATTGTCGAGTCAAAAGAACTAATATTACAACCCAAAGAATTTGACGATGATGAAAAACCAATAATTTATGAAACATTTTTTTAATACAGTAGCTTTATTTTAGAACCTAACAGTATTGAAATTTCCGTTCATTAAATCTGTAAATACTAATCTTAATTTAATTTAAAACATATCATCGTGAGTTAAATCGGGCATCAAATTTAAGCCACGTTCTTTCAACGCTTTTGTTAACAGTCTTTGTTGATCCTGCTTCGATTCTTGTTCTCTTCTTTGTGCATCTAAAATGTCATCAACAGTAACCTGTCGTAAAGGCAAGTTAGCTTCCTTCTGAGCATCCTGTAAATCACGGCATTATTTATCAAATACCGACAGCATTTCCTACGTACTATTTCACCTAAAAGAACTACATTTTCACCTCTTACAATAAACACGCCCCTTGGTATATCGCCAAACTCCTTGCCTACGTGAATTCTTTCGATCGTTTTATGTAATACCAAATTGGCAAATTGATCAACACTTCGAAGGTATCCAATTAATGTCCTGCCATCGCGTAAGACTACGATTAATTTCTCTGTGAAAAAATGCTCTAATTAATTTAAAGATTGCGTATTATTACTTGCTGTCTAATTCATCCAATAAATGCGCCGTGCCCTCCAACTCTGGCCTATTCATAATGTAACAACAGATTTATTGTGAAAAACACTATGTTTGTGATGAGTTTTTAAAAGAAAAGTTTGGTTAGGTTGCATGAAGAAATCTTTTTTTTGTTAGCGATGTTGCCAAATCGGAAAATTCCAAAAGATAACAGTTTTGAAGTAATTTTAACAACGCTATTAATATGTAGTACCATTGATTGTATTGTATTGTATGCATAATGATAGTACTGTTTTACTAAATACTGAATTTACCTTTCAAGACATGTTTTCAAATTTATATAGAAATTTTACCGTTTGACTAGAAATTCTTTAATATACAGTGTGGCCCAGATTGCATGGGCAACTTTCTTATTATTAAATGTTTATTAGATTAGATGTTTATTTAAAATTTCCATGTGAAAGTTCAAAATGTCCGATAGGTTGGACGTAATTTCAAAACTAGAATCGGTCATTTCTTTGCATGTCTTATATCATCGAAAGTAAACGAGATACAAAAAAAGGTACCTACTATGTTTATTTTAAAAAAAGATTCGTTAAAATCGGTTCATAAATAAAGTAGTGGTGCAAAAAGAAGTCCACCCATGTTACAAAGGCGCTCAATGCCCGTAGACACAAAGACTGAAACTACTAAAGTGCCACATGTTGGAATACGGGTGTGATCCACAGTTTGTACGTTCACTGTCAAGATAATAAATCAGAGGTTAAAGTGTACTATATATGTAATCTACGTGTTAAATTTTAATAGCTTCAAGTTTTGTTTATTCATTTAAATGAATAATTCCATATGAATAAACAATGCTTCAAGCGTATGAATCTGACGGTTAAGTGGCGGGGAAATTTTGGAACTTTGGTTATCTAGAATCCATAGAATGAAACAATGCTCTCTAGTATCAGTACAGCGTACTAAGGATGAAGGTGGCAAAGTACGTGTCCCTTCTCGCATGTTATATTCTGGAATTGTGTAATCTTTGACTTCTGACATTGAAAACCTTCCATTCCGGTGGTATTAAGATAATTCGCTTTAATTAATTTCTGCTACATCATTACCGGCGCTTGTTTTTGAACGGTCTTGTCTCAACTACTTTGCAGAATGCCTACTAAAGCTGTGTGTGTTTTAAATGGTGAAGTTGTAAAGGGAACCCTTTGGTTCGACCAAGCGGTAACGTCTAAAGGTAAAATTTAAGACAGAAATGATATTTTTTCAACAATTACAGAGCGGCAAAGATCCAGTGGTCGTCACAGGCGAAATCAGCGGTTTAGGTAAAGGCCTTCACGGTTTCCACATTCACGAATTTGGTGATAATACCAATGGATGCATCTCCGCCGGTGCCCATTTCAATCCCGAGGGTAAAGATCATGGTGCTCCCAACGCTTCAGTTCGCCATGTCGGCGATTTGGGAAATGTGGAAGCTGGAAATGATGGAATTGCAAAGGTAAAAATTTCCGATAAGGCGATTTCATTGGAAGGTGCCAACTGCATTATTGGTCGTACTTTAGTAGTACACGCCGATCCCGATGATCTTGGAGTTACTACTCATGAATTAAGCAAAACTACTGGTAATGCCGGCGCAAGGGTAGCATGTGGTGTTATTGGAATTGCCAAGTTGTAATCATTCCCAAATATGTTATTTTGTTAGAATGTTTAAAAGATTAAGACCAAATAAAAAAGCTAATCTTGAATTACTTTTATTTATAACGGCCAGGTTGTATTATCAAAGTTCATTTTATGAAGGTTAAACGACTGTCTAAAGTACATTATATGGGTTCCAATCAAATCTTATACTATTTACATCATTAAGTAATGCCATATCACTCTCTGGTATAACAAAATCCGTTTCTAGATTATTCTTTAAATGCTCCATTGAACGAGCTTTAGGTGCCACGCCAACATTTTGTTGTAAACACCAACGTAGCAATACCTACAAAATTACACATAAGGGAAACTCGAGATTAACTAAGACCTACTTGTGCTGGTGATTTTTCCAATTTTTTTGCAATAGAGCTGACAGCTTTATTTCTTAACAGACTTGAGTTTCCACTACCACCTAAAGGCATATATGCCTGTATAAGTATACCTTCTCTATCGCACAATTGCTTTAGTTCATTATCGAAACAACCCGGATGCCACTCCATCTGCAAACAAAAATTATAGCCGACCGGTAAAGCGAACTTGTGTTGGATATTGTTTGCAAATGGAAAACGTCACAAATCTGTTTTACTGACCTGATTCAGTACCGGTTTAACGCCGTAACAATTGCTTAACAATTCATTGAGATGACGAGTAATATAATTCGAAACACCAAGACTCTTGACTAACCCATCTTTCTGTGCTTCAACAAGTGCTGCCCAACTGGCAGTACGCAACTTTAAATTTTCCCCACTCTTAGATGAAACAGTATAAGAACCGGGCCAGTGAATTAAATATAAGTCTATATAATCGCACTGTAGTTTGTTTAGTGAAGCCTCCAAAGCACGTCTTGCTTTATCACCATGATGAGATGGATCTAGTAATGCCAGCAATAGAATGCAACCAGCAACAATTCATAATTAAAGCTACTTACCAAGCTTTGTTTGTATAAATATATCTTCTCTACTTAAATTGTGCTTTGGTAACAACTCTTTTAAAGCGTCGCCCATGCTTTTTTCGTTGTTGTACATATGAGCCGTGTCTACAAATCTCCCATTATTAATCAAGTTTAGCTGCTCTCTATACGTACCAAACGCTCGGTAACCCGCTGCTAAAGCTTTGTCTAAGGATTTGAAAAGCTCATCGCCTTCCATAAGATAAGTACCCACTGAAATCAAACAATTGTCTTCTATGCAAGAGATATATTTTAAACTTACGGACTGTTAACGGAATTGAATATCCGCTCAACAGCTTGAATGTGCCAATTTTGTTAGACATTTTTATGATGTGTGCAAATGAAGTTATGCCACAAATCGTTTAATCAGGACAAACAAACAAAGTGAGCCTACATTAGATTAGGATATCTTTATACTTTATTGGCTGTGTATCCAAGGAAGGGGTTAGGCAATTCTGAGAAAACACAAGTAAAAAACCAGAAACCACCTCCTGCAAAAGCAGAAAAACCTATACGTAATAATTAGATCCTCTGCTGTGGATTCTCTCGCTGAATCATCAAGATTGTATTGTTTTTGTTTGGGCGAAAATGCCCTTGAAATTAAAATGGTCCAAAACGGCAGCGATCAGCTGATCAGCTGACAATCGCTCTCCGTTTTGTTATTTTGTACCTAGACTATGCACAGCTGGTCATAGGCCGGAATAAAGGATGCGAAACGAAATTTTAAAAAAATTAATAGATTTATTTAGGTATGTATATCATATTTCGCAATATTTCAACAGTTGTTCCTAATAATGAACGTACAAATGCGTGAAACCGCTATCGATTAATAGAATCAAGTGCAGGGGTTTTCCAACATTGTTCATTCAGGTCAAGTGAAATATCTGTATAACTATACACACGCATAAAAAATTGAAATACGTGTTTATGAGACTATGAGTAGATATGGGCATTGAATAATAAATTATTATTCAATGATATGGGTAAATTTTCATTCTCAAGAAAAATTTTAGAAAAATCCAAGTGCGTAATTTAATTGTTCTGTGGGGTCTTTAGAATTCTGCTTGGTACTACCTATACCACTGTTTATTCCAAATGAATATAAACAATTATTGGCCCGTATGAATAAAAGTAGCAAATGCTTATACTTGAAAAATTCAAAGCAAATACTCGTAAGTGCTCCTTCTCCTTCGCTCTAGGCGACTTGGCAGCGCTGCTAAGCAGAAGGACAGGGTCACAGGACGCAATGCAGCGCTGCTAAACAAACCAGTATAAAGGGGCAGTTACGAGTATTTACTTTGAATTTTGCAAGTATAAGCATTTGCTTATTTTTATTCATACATAAGACAAAAATGTATGTTTTTATTCATACGGCCCATTGAACTACCATCATGTCACTCTTTTCTTGCGGAAATATGTCACTTAACACCTTAAAAACTTACTTTTATCGTTGAGTGAAGGATTAGGAAATTACTCAATGTTTTTATTTAACGTTTGGGGAAGTCCTATTAATAACTTATAAGATACTTACTACCTACCTAATATACGAACTAAAGCAAGCACCAGGGGTTTAAGTTCTAGAAGGGTGACAGGATGTTAACATAACAATACATAGTAATAAAAGACAGAATAAACAATTAGGTTATTCAAAACATAGGACTTCATTACACCAAATAGTTCTAGAGATATCCAAATTCAAATTTGCACACATGCATCTAGCAAAAAACTTTAATATTCACTGTGCGTCTCGTCCCTTTTTCCTTTGTGAGTGGGTACCTGTTCCCACACTCCGTTCCCTAAAATATATCATATCTCTGATTCTAGTTATCCGATGGTTGGATGAGTGTCAGAGAGACCTACCACTTTCCCTTTGTGAGTACATGACTTCCGACACTCGATTCTCAAGATATTCGCATATGAAGTTTTGACTCTACCAGAGGAATTTCGTAAATATTCCGCAAATAAGTTAATCACTGCGCAGTAAATCGTTTGTGCACCGCTCGAACCGAATTAAATCAACTCGCATCCGGCTCATATATTCAATAGCGCCACTGATCCTTGAACTCGTAGAGATCGATTGACGAAGGTTCACATCGCTGTCTTTTTTCGTTCTCGAGTTAGACGAGGAACAGACAGATAGATGGACAAAACCATCACATCACAATTTTGTTTCCCCTAAAAACAACTTGATTTTTATATAGAGGGGGCTAATTTTTGTGCAAAAATCCCCCCATTGTTATATGGGACGAAGAGGCAAATGATTAATAATTTGAAAGGGATTTTTATTATTTATATCCAACCGTTTTTATTTGTTTCAAATTGATCAAATAGTTACCTAAAAATCGCGCTTTGGTTTCAAAGTTTGAAACTTAAAAATCAATGTCGTGGTACAAATTTTCGTTGCGGCAGTTTGTATATGAAATTGACTTCTTAGGTACAAAAGTACCAATAATTCTTGACAGGACAGATTATATAATAACTCAAACCAAAAAGCGCGCATTGCACCTTTTTTAGCGCATTTTTGGAAAAAAATACGCTATTATATTCGTTATGGCCGACTGTCCGACTGAGACCTCAGGAATTACAATTGCTAGAGACTTTACATTTTCACTAAAAGCTTTCTGTTATAGTGTAGATGTGCAGGCTCTAGTCTATTTTGCGTTAAATTACTCGTGAGATCGATAATTTTAAACTTTACTAATGAAATACTGATTTGCATTACCAAAAATGCGCTTTCATTATGCATAGGTATGCTGATTTACAACTTGTTTTACTTTCGTTTCATTTTATTTTCTAAAGTCAAGCAACATTATTCCCTGTTAGAATTTATGGACGGGTAACCACTCGAAAATTCCGCTCGTTGCTTTTTTGTTTATTTTAACTTAATTTTTTATATCTATTAATTAATCATGATAAAAATGTGTACACATGTACAGGGTGGTTCAAATTCGTGGCCCACTATATTGGGATCTTTGTATATTTGTGTAAATAGTGAGTGTGACGCGTCATTATTTTTCTTTTCTTGTCGTCTATCTCATTCATAAAAATGCAGTATGGCGTCCATAAGAAAGTAAGTATTAGCCTACTGCAGCTTCTACATCTAGCGTATATATAATGGAAATTCTGAAAAGTTCAGATGTGCCGAAAAACAGTTCCGGATAGCGACGGAACCGTCTATAACGTGAGGTTAGTTCGGCGCTGTAAAACTCAAACCCCGCCGCATAAACGGCCAGCTAGCTCAGATTCTTAATTAAAAGAAGGGCTCGAGAGGAGAATCTTCCACAGCGGTTTGTTCGTTTGGGCATATAACATAAGTTTTTGATCTTTGGTAGTCACTAGAAATGATTAGTTGAGCGCCACCCAATTTTGCACAAATTCTGACCCTCCTGTATAGAAATTGGGAAAACACAAGAGAGCCAAATAATAAATTCACTACGAGCAATTCTGATTTATTAATCCTGGCAAAACGGTGCAGGATCGCAAATAAAATGTATCTTCAATACGACAATAACAAATACTTTAAATGACAAAAATAATCCCCAAATAAATTCATGAACACTTCCCTAATAATTACGTTACCAGCCCCCTACAACAATGATCGAGCAAAAATGTAGTTAAGGTTTCAATAGATTCAAAGATTGAATTAAGTTAACCCGAATAACAACTCATATAGGCAACACTGGGTACAAGTAAATTAAAAATCTTACCTTGAATAACACATACGCTGTCTCCTCCGAAAAAGAGCTCTCCTTCGAAGTTCCAGTTCTGTAACACAAAAAAACAAACCCCAAGCTACAACGCTCGGAACGATTATATGAGCCGGAAGGGCCAAAAATAGCTTACTCGTAGCCGGCTCGTTTACCCATACGTTAAATACAGGTGCGTTGCTCTTGAAGTGAGCCACGACCTCAAAACACTAGATGCGAACAAAATACAAAGCTCCGATCATAAATCGTCGGAAGGTTACACTAGATTAACGGTATTGAAGCAAATAAAAAAAGGTTGGGTCAAAGATCGTATCTTCCGAAAATTCCACAATCAGCTGGTCGCTCCCGGTATCGTTTAGGTGTTAGCGCTTATCTACTCGGTGGTACGCCGGATAACTACATGGATTCGTCGGTACAAGAATTCATCTACTACATGGATTGACCTACTACATGGATTGACCGGTACAAGAATTCATCTACTACATGGATTGATCGGTACAAGAATTCATCTACTACATGGACCCCCTGAAATCGTCAGGAGGGTAATGAAAAATACTTAAATCAATGAAATATGGAAATTATCCAAGAGGTTGTGAATATGTAGGTAGGGCGATGAACTTCCAACCAGATAATAGCCTCACAATGGAGAAAACGGCTTCTGAGTTACTCTACTCGACAACGCCAATAAAACAGGTAAAATTGCCAGAGATTTTACGTGAATGATGGCAAATATTACCCACTGGTTTTAGAAGAATTCACAATGCCACGCTCTACAAGTACAACCTCGTTGGCTTTAAAACGGAAATGAAGTGAAAAAATTACGCGATTCTGCGCGAGGAAAGAAGCACGCGTACAAGTGCGCCATCTCACCTATATCCTGCCTAACGTAGCAAGCGGTAATTTTGAAATTTGAATATAAATAAACTAAACTGTTACACCCCCCCTCTCCTTCGACAGGAGGGAAACTACAAGTTTTCCGACGATCGAAAAACCCAGCACACACACTCGAAAAGGAAGCAAACAAATTGAAAACCCGAAAACCCACCCCAGTGTAAAAAAAACTCCCCCCCAAAGAATTTCACCTTCAAAGAATTTTCCCAGGTTCTCCAGCAGCGGAAAAGGTATGCAAAATCGGGTATTGACATGCCCTCGCGTAAAGATGGAATCTCGCGCCGTCGGGTATCATGACAATAGCAACCCCTTTCTTACAACCCAATCCAACTACTAGTCACCCCCAAGAAAACCAAATCCAGTGCCCACCCAGAAGAAAGAAACCCTACAGTTTCAAGTGATGCAGCACCAAAATCCCCAAAATAAAGAAACCCCCCTCCCTGACTAAAAACGACACAAAAGCCCAAATTTTGACCCCCCTTGCCGAAAAAGTGTAGAAGGAAACCCCCAAAAAGAAGGTACCTTTCCAACCCAACTCCACCATGCACTAGCGCAATGAAATGAAGAAGGTGCTATGGATAGAAGACAGTAAGAGAGAAAGAAGAAATCACATTTGCGGAGAAAAAAAACTCATTCATGCCGATTCCAGGGGTCCCATGGTCACCGAGGCTCGCACAGGGAAGGCGCACCCACCCCCTTCCTCTTGTGTATCACTCATACATCCATTCATACGAACATACACTCTGTGGAACGGAAGAAAGAAGAGTAGAAAAAGATAGAAAAATAGGAAAGTGAAAAGAAAAGGGCAACCTCTCCCAAATCTCCCCTGTGGAAATTAGAAGAAAAGAAGTGGTCGAGGTGCAAATAGAAAAAGGAAGAAAAAAGAGGAAATGGATCGGGAGAAAAGAAGAAAATCCCCCCCTAGCAGGTCTTAAGCTATGATCCTAGAAACCATCCCCTATGCCCAACCAAACCACCCAAAGAGTAAGAAGAAGAAGAAATATGGAACATATAACATATAAATACATATATCAAAGTCAAATCCAAGAATAAGAATACGTCAAAATTAGTGGTTCAAAATCGTCAATAAACAAGCAAGCCGGCGACAATAAATGTCTAACCATGATCATCGGGTTCAATATAAGGTTTGAGATCCTGGACGTGCCACGTTCCAGAAGATTTACCATTAGAATCTTTCAACTCATAGGTCAAATACCCCATTTTACGGCTAACCGTAAATGGTCCTAAAAATCTGGGAGCTAACTTCGCTGAATAATCTTTAGTGGCATCAGACAAAGTCTTATTTTTACGCCAAACCAAATCTCCTATCTCATAGTTAACATGCCTACGTCGTAAGTCATAATGTTGCTTGTTGCGGTCATGACTGTCTTTAATGCGTGCAATAATTTTGTCGTACAGTCCTTGCTGTTGCGCTAACCGTTGTTCTACGTCAATCGGCTCATTGTCCGTCATGTCAGTGTCGAAGCTGTTCCCTCGAATACGAAATTCTTTCCCAAAATTAGCACGATAGGGAGTCACACCTATGGTTTCGTGCTTAGAAGTTCGAAGAGCACAAGCTATCGAAGCTAAATGAACGTCCCAATGTTTGTGATTGTTCTTAACATAAGTGGCTATCAATTGCTTTACCACACGATTCACCCTCTCCGCAGGATCAGCCTGTGGATGATAAAAAGGAGTAAACCGAACCTTTACACGGTAGCTTTCACACAGATCTAAGAAGAGTCTACTGCGCATCTGCACGCCATTGTCACAAATAAGGAATTGTGGAGCTCCATACACAAGAAATACAGAATCTTCAATACATTTGACAAGAGTTTTGGCATTCGCCGTCCTTATGGGAAAAAGAAGTACAAATTTACTCATATAGTCACTAACAACTAATAAATGAGTTCGCCCTTGAGTGGATCGAGGTAAAGGACCAATAAAATCTAAGCTGATCATCTGCCACGGTTCATAAATTTGAGGATGTGAACCCATAAGCCCTGCAGGTCGAAGTTGTTCAGGTTTATGTTGTGCACAGGTGGTACAGCGAGAAATATAACGCTTAATATCGCACTTCATTCTCGGCCAATAATATCGGTGATGAATGCGCCAAAAGGTCTTATAAACACCAAGGTGTCCTGAAGTAACATTATTGTGGTTCTCTTGTATAAGAGATTGTCTAAAATCAGAAGGAACAACAAGTTTCCATTTTTCATAATCATGAGATTGTAAAGCGGACTTGATATATTTATACAACAACGAATCTTTCACTCGCCAATCGGGATATTTATGAGGACTTCGCTCTAATCTTTCAAACATACCAAGGTACCAAGGGTCTTTAGAAGTTTTGAAATCGTTCGGATCCACCGTAACATCTGAAGAATGTACAGCTTCGATCACAGGTACAGTACGTGACAAAAGATCGGGAACAATATTGTCCTTGCCTTTACGATGGACAAGAGTAAAGGTATACGGCTGTAAACGAAGAGCCCAGCGTGCTAAACGTCCTTGGGGGTCTTTCAAAGAATGCAACCACAAAAGAGAATGGTGGTCAGTAATGACTGTAAAAGAAACTCCTTCGAGGTAATGTCGAAGTTGCTCTACCGCCCAAATGACTGCTAAGCACTCACGTTCAGTCGTGCTGTAATTTTGTTCCGCTCGGGATAATGATCGGGATAAATAACATACCACTCGCTCCCCATCCGGAAAAGTTTGAGTCAAGACAGCTCCTAGCCCATAAGCAGAAGCATCGGTCTGAAGGACAAAAGGTTTGGTAAAATCCGGGCAATTGAGCACAGGTGCAGTTGCCAAAAGTTCTTTTAATTTGAGAAAAGATTCCTCACATTCAGACGTCCATTCAAATTTAACATTTTTCCGAAGAAGTCTGGTTAAAGGAGCAAGAACGGTTGAAAAATCAGGAATGAACCTACGGTACCAACCGCAAGTTCCTAAGAAACGTCGTATATCATTCACCGTAGTGGGTGTTGGAATATCTAAAATCGC